AGGGCAAGCCCTCACATGGAATCCTCAAGGCCAAAGGAGAAGAAGAAGACCATAGAACACATTACGTCGAGAAATAGAGACCGATATGAGAAGAATGAACAACAATTGGATAGAACTGGAAAGGAAGGCCGAAGACAGAGTGGGTTGGAGAATGCTGGTCGGCGGCTTATGCTCCATTGAGAGTAACAGACGTAAGTAGTAAGTACTTTCAAAATTTGTTATTAGGGGTAAGGAGAAAAGATCAGTGCTATTTATTATTATTATCGAAATGAATCATACATAGACAGACTGTAGGCAACAATCAATAAGAATGGAATAAAAACAATTGTCATGTGTTCTGTGGATCAAATTTTTGGCACTGGTTTCATTTCTATGTTTTCTAAATGTACGCAAAAATTGCTTCCGGAAAATAGACTTATCATTATTATTTCCGTAAATACTTTGGTTGTCTATTTGAAGAGATGGATATATTGATGATTTGATGTTGATAAGTTGAGATAACTATCGTTTTTCATTGTTCAATAAGTGTGCGATACGTAATTGTTATATCCTAGTGAAGATTAAATAACGAGTAACTCCTGAGAACTACTGGTGAGCTGATATTATATATGTATTTCTATTGCTTAACTTTCCAGTAACTAGATTATGTATATCTATATTACGTTTATTATAAGCTTCATTTTGATCTAGAGATTATTATTATTATACGATTTACTGTTCTTAAGTTATGTTCAGTTTATTAGTTACAGTCTCCCACATTCACAGCTACTTTTTGGCTTGATCTTGTATAAATATTATTTCCTATTTTATGGTATGATGCGGTCTGTTTGACTGGTATATAAACAAAGTATGTTTGAAATAAACGATTCGTATAGTGGAAGCTGGTATTGGCGTTCTGGACTCAACTGAATGGGATGTCAGGTAAAAGGACCAGTCGAACGTTATTGGTTTAGCATAGTACTAGGATTGAGTAAGTCGTATTTCGATTGGCGAATAAATCACATGATAACAAGCCGGGCTTAAAGTCACAATATTAACATAATTCCGTTCATTTGTGTTAATGCTGCATATAAGTGTCGTTTGCATTGGAGATTTCACTTCAATCATCTAGATTTATCTGTGTGTCTTCTGTGAACAATTCACTGTAACGTATCCCAAATTATGCCTGTATCGGATTACATATGGGAGGCTTGTATATAAGCAGCAGACTTACATAAGAGTATAATATAACAAATATTTTGCTTGCGAAGCAAAAAGTTTTTTATTTAAGGTATAAATACGCAGCTCATGATAAGTTACGGTGCGGGCCTACAGTACTTGCTATCTACAAAAATACTTAAACTTATTTCAATACGAATGTGTTATATGACGGACTTGATGACGAGGTGACTGTTACAAGACATCAACAATAATCTGCAGTTGTAAGGTCACACAATATGGCGAGAATGAAAGAAAGGTTGATATTCAAGCAGAAAAACTGAAGTAGTACAACTCTACATATATATGTATGGTAACTGCTATGTCGGAACAAATAAGATCCTATCTGAATTTATTGTTCATACTTTTGTAATATAATTAGTAAATACTTAAACTTTTGTACCTTTGAACTCCTCTACTTTCAAGCTTTTGTTTGATGTATAAACTTCCTCAAGTTACCGGTAATTTATTACGAACTTTTCACTCAGTCCTCTTCCACATAAGGTGTAGTTATGACCATACTGTTAGTCTTTTAGTTCTGACGATATGTGGTCAGGATTTCGTTCAATATTATCATATGAGTGATTCATGAATTCGAACTATACAATTAGAAGTTGTCTGTTTGCTATGTTGTGTTCTTTTCTAGCTATTGGGTGAGTGAGCATAGGAAACTGCATTGTGAACTAATAGTCACTTAGTGTTACTCTCATCTGTTATCTCACATTTATCGTTTCATCGATTAGCCGAAAATGATCGGTACTGTATAGATAGTCTAGACGAGCTAATCGATACTCGAACTAGATCAATACAACAACTCTTTCCTGTTTTATGGATCTCAAATAAACAAAACAGGAAAATGTAACGTACGAAAATCTGACTACTTTGTCGATTTATTCACATATATATCATGACTAATGAATGTATCACATTTATTGAATACACGTTTGACTACTCGATTTTGACCGCTCCACACTTGTCAAGTATAATGATACTAGTTTAGTTTAGCCCTATGCAACTATATCTCATTTGAGTTTATTGTTTATTAACACTAATGTGACTTTGGGATTTCAGAATGAGTAACCAAGATAAGCAAGTTTCTTGTTCACTGAACCAAAAATTACATTAATTATGCAATGACTACAGTACGACCGGGGATAGTAATATAATTGTTAAAAAGAAAATCATATTTTGCCCAGATCATTGAGTCATCCTTCTATTGTATATGATGAGTCAAACGTATATCATTTTAATCAGAAAGGGGTTTTATGGATATTATAGTAATTTACTAGTTGAATTCATGAGTCAGTTGAAGCTAGACCACCATAGGAAACCTGGAAGCACTGGACGTGTTACAGTTAGACGTTAACACCGTTCGATGCCGCCTCAGTGGTCTAGTGGTTAAGAGCTCGTGTACGCACTGCTGAGTCCAATACTGGGATGAAACAGCCGCCCAATCAACTCATGAATTCAATTATTAAATATCATTTGACAAGAAACTAGTGAGGCTATAATTTGTAGACAACCTATGAGCGACCTTGAGTACCCGCCTAATAATTAGGACTAAATGAAGGTTATAAAAGAGTGTAAGGAATTAGAATTATGATTTGCAGTTGATGGGTATGGATTAGATTTAGTGTTTTATATCGCGAACTGACATCGGCTAAAATGCCAGAACATTATTTAGCCAAAAGGATGAGTGGATTTCGCGCCAAAATCCAAGACCTGTTATATTATATCTGATTGGTTCGTTCATATAGTCTCGTCAAATTTTTTTTAGAATATTGTGAGCCTTTGAAAAGCTCAAGAAACTTCGCCCAATTAGAGTATAATAGAAGCCTCCGAGAAGAACGATGGATCATTTGATATATTCTAATTGTATTAATCGAAGACCGAATATGTTTACAGGAAGTTTCTAAAACACCTGTCGTTTGTCTTTTTTTGTACCTAAACTAACATTCGAAGTAAAGCTTACACTCACACCTTCTGCATTCCCTCTTATGTTCAACGTCACACTTTAGGGGATTAGATAGTATGATTAGAAAGTTATCGCCAAGCGATCAAGTATCAGATATATCAATGACAATAAAACTTACAATTAATTATGTATTATCTAAACTATTTCTAGTTAGATTATGATTTCAAACGAAAACATGTCTACAGCAAGCAATCGTGGTATTAAAAGAAAACTAACGAATGTTGGTTGTTCAAATGTAATAAACAGTTACACCTTCCTGACGAGTATTAACTAGCATAAAACCTAGGTCAAAACAAGGTTTTTCCTGTCGGTTTAACATTATCAACACACTGCAAGCAATATAGTGTCATCTGAACTAATGACCATATTACCAAGTGATCGGCAGAACTAGATCACGACCCAGGGGATTTACATTTTTACTGTATAATTAACAGATAACTGTATAATCGTATTACTATACTTAACCTATCGCAAGCTCTCAGTGGACCTATTAACTATCGTTATACATTTTACTATTACTTAAATATTGCTAATTAATTATGTACTGTTTGCTTCGCTCTCTATGACTTATGGCATGATTGTATCTAAACTATGAATTCTCATTTGGTTAGCTTTGCAGTCCGTGTACATAAGCCAGTAAGTGATTGAGACTATTTTTGTGTGTTCTGATTGATTGAAATAAAATAATAGGTTGGCTGCTGACTTTTTGAACTAAACGCTGGATCTAGAGAAGTGCTTGAAGGTATGAAGGTAGCTTGCGTTAACTCAAGATCACTTATGTCAGTCAGGACGTATTATTGTTCAAGGCTAAGAACGCTAGACTGTAGGCGGAATAGAAGACGTAGGTTAGGAAAACAATAATCAGAATTTCGCGTCTTGAGATAAAACACCTCTAAATACGAAGAGGTTCGAACTCCGTCAGTAGTAGTGACCTGTCGCGAATAACGTAAAACTTAGTACAAAATGTATCAACCTAAGTCATTAAACTATACCACAATAACGATGACAGTACATTTTAACTAGATATGAGGTTCTAACCAATAGTGCACAAAAGGTGTATGAACCAATTATTGGTCACTGGCTATCATGGAACTGCATCTCCTAAAATTGCTCCACTATCTTGTGGATTAGGCCTCTAGGTCAAAAGCTCGGAATGTGACCCCCTAAGGAAACTACCTGCTTCGGTTTAGACATCCGGACAATATCCCAACCCTCATACAAATCAAATGCTTTGTGTGGCGCATATATAAACATGTTTTGTGCCTTCTTGTACCAATATTCATATCAGAAGGGATTTCGTGGAGATTTTAGAAATTTCAATTGTTGAAATCATGAGTCAATTGAAGCTAGACCATCATGAAAAACCTGAAAGCACTGGACGGCCGTTTCGTCCTAGTATGGGACTCCGCAACAGTGCGTACCCACGATCCCGCCCGCCGTGAGATTCGAACCCAGGACCTATCAGTCACGCGCGTGATTGCTTAACGATTAGACCACTGAGCCTCCATCCAACGGTGTTAATGTCTAACTTCAACCAATCCACGAAATCGCATCATCGTACACCATTGTCTTCAATGAGCTGATATCTCATAACAGACCTGGTTGAACTTCACTAGTCACGGCTTCGCACTAGAACTACAGGAAATGCCTCTTGATGTCAGTCACTAGTGAGCAGATGAAGAGTTCCATACTAGGAAGAAAAAACGACCATCCAGTACTTACAGATTTTCCATGGTGGTCTAGCTTCAATTGACTCATGATTTCAACCTGTGAAATTGCAATATTGATATGTTCAAAATAGATAAACACTAGAACACATATTAGTCTTAAACAAATGACCAGATATTGATTGATTAATTAAAAACTATCATTAAACTAAACAGAATAGTGAACGGCATAGAAATTGTACATAATTCTTTCATAACAATAGTCATAATATTATTTAACAAAGATGCATAATAACACTTGGAAAAGTAATTACCTCACACATTTGTTTGAATTTCAATCTACACACCTAATATATATAGATGCATGATTGTCAATATTATTATTAGTGGTGATAGTAGTAGTAGTAGTGCTAGTAGTAGTAGTAGACATGGAACGTACGACGATACAAGTATATGGATACATGACGTAAGATTATAATTTTTTTTTGTTTGCCATTAAAATAACTGACATACAACAGAATGAATTCAGAGAGTTTGAACGGGGTGAATGCGTACAATTATAGTTACATTTCAATAAATATATATATATTTAATGACTTGTAAAGAATAAAAGAATCAAACAAGAGAAGACAACTATTCAAACTATGCAAAATATGAATGGTATTAGAAACAATTGGAAGAGAAAAGAAAAAAAGAATGTGTGTGTGTGTGTGGTTGTGAAGTCTTTTTTTCTTTCTTTGCTTCATTATGAAAAAAAAACATTGTCATGTAGAGAGTAAACTGTAAGGATAATGCAAAACGGTTTACCTACAACTTGATAATGTAAGCATTTTTGTTGTCAAGAGGCAATGAATGAAATAAGAATACATGCGAGCACGCATACATACATACATACATACACTTACATAGACATAAGCAAAGTGAATAAAAGCTATTTAAAACCGGGATGATAATGTTTCTTTCTTTTTCTGTAATGAAATCATGATGAAATAAGCAGGAATATAAGAAAGGCAACAAAGACATGGGATTTGATGTGGTTGTGTGTGTGTGTGCGCGTGTGTTTGTGTATGCAATACTTCATCAAAGGATTGAATATACACAGAACCTAGATATATTGGTAAGTAAAATAATTTTGTCTATGAAAAAGGACAATTAAGGCAATTCATTCATGTAGAGAATAAGTCAAAGTGTATTTTATATATTAATATTTAGTAAGCAAATATAAGTTTTAATCATACACACAGAGTAGTGAAACACATACACACACATACATACATATATATATACATACTATTACTGTACATATCTACAAAACAATAGTAATTACATAATATAATAATGGCATAGTAATGAATGAACTGATGATTAGTGATTAAGTAGCCATGTCGTGTGGCCAGTAAATGTTTACTTGGTTAATTTGATAGGACAGAGAGAGAGAGAGAGAGAGGTTATAGAACAAAATAGTCTGTGATAACCGGCAAAAGAAAACACAATACATGTAATTGAAGTACATATAATGGAACCAATAAAAAATACAATGAATCAATAATATACATGCATAATTAGTCTAGAATAATAAAAATGAAGAAAAAGAAAATACGGATTAAATTAACGTAAATAAAATTAAGTTATGGTAACTTTTAATACTACTATTAGTAGTAGAGATAGGTAGTATATAGAGATGTGATAATGTTTACGATAGGGAAAGGTAAAATACATACAACACGTGCATATATAATACAAATGCATGAAATAAACTTGAAAAGATGATACAGTCGGGGAAAAAAGTAAATAATACCCATACAATATGATGCAAATAAGATGGTTAAGATAAAAGGAAGTGTTGATTTAAACTAATACTACTAATTATACTACTAACAGTAGTAGTAGTAGTAGTAGTAGTATTGCTACAGTACTCATCCTCATACTAGTACTTCCTATTCAGAGTGTTTGTATATGGGTGAAATTCCTTTTGAATGGGAAAAAGAAAAGGTGTATAAATCAACTTGAATAATTAAGGAGAAAAAACAATCACATAGATTTCAAAAAAAGAGTATTCAGAAAAAGCGGGCAACCTTTTAACGTTAAAACAAACAAATTGATGGATTGCTAAACATAGATGAGATTGCGAATAGAAACAATATAATGATAAAATAATTGTAATACGCGATCGGTTTATGTGTTTTTCTACTTAAAACACACACATGAGATGATCGAATGCAGGGAAGAGAGAGAGAGAGAGATCAAGCCAATAAGTTAGCCATGCGTATACGCCGACTATTCCACAATAATCGAGAAAGATTAGAACGAAACACAGAGTAATAAGTGTAAACTTTCTTACATAACTTATTCACATATAACATATAAACAAATATGGTGACAATTACACTTATATATGTGCATATATCCCGTAACTGATTGATAATGATATAGACAGAGATTGAATTGTCTAAAGGATAAACATTAAAAAAGCGTATCAAGCGGGGGGAGAGAGAGAAAAAAAACAAGCAAACAAACAAACAGACAAACAAAAAATGCTGGTTTAACGAATCAACGTACAGGAACGACAGTGAATATAAACGACAGCACATTATGATACAGAATAAATTCGAACGATAATCATACTAATCAATGATTGGTAAAGCAATATGGTGTAGATCGATCACTTATGATTGTGTATTATAATACAGAAGCTGTTATTTTCGACAGGAAAACTAATGAAGAAGCAGAATCGTTAGTAATAGGTCTAAAAAGAAGTGAATTTATGCTTGACCTTCGCGATAATGACCGTCATAATACACGCTTCCATGATTAGCATTATTGATATTATTGTTGACACCACCAGGTGACATCAAGACATTGTGCTGTGGTGGTTGCGGTTGTCCACCGCCTCCCGCAGCAGCTGGTGTCGGCGGAAGACCAATACCCCGTGGAATACCATATTCCGAATAGTCACGTATACGAGGTGGTGGACCGACTAATAAACCGGTAGTACCAGAACCAGATGGGTGATAAACTCCGGAACTGCCACCAGTAGCAGCACCGACCCCACTGCCACCGCCAATGTGACGCGAAAGGGAATCTGGATTAAAATGATGATGTTGTTGATAAGTCATTGAATTGTGTCGGCTATGATCTGAGCTATTCATCTGGGCAGCGAATGCCATAGCTGCTACAGCTGGGGGAGGTGGTGGCGGCGGAGGTTGATTAGGAGGTGGTAATTGACCCAGTACGGATGGAGCACGTTGAGGTGAATCTAAAAACCAGTGAACACAGAAATTAAATTCATATACATACATTTATGTACATAAGATGGGAGCTATAACGAGTCATAAATATTACACATAGCTAGAGTTCTGATAATAGCGCGCTGACCAAAATAAACGAGCGAAAAATTAAGGTGGTAGTAGTAACCAAATTTGAACCAAAGGTAACTGTATAAATAAAACTTTTGAAATTTTGGTTAACAGAACGTAAGTGCTAAAGAAAAGCCGGTTTTAACCCTGAACAAATCGCACAACTAATTTAAAAGGATCCGTGATATAACGTAAAGTTTGCAATATTTTCCCTCTCTCACGTATATGACGATCATACGTTAATAAGACTAATCGTGTTATATCAGAAACAGGATTCTTAACCCAAAGATCGAGTATCAGATTAAAACTAGATAATACTTTATTCAATACAATTACCAGCAATCACACAGTGAGTCCAGAATAGAAATCAATGATAAGAAGGATAATCACATATTTAATAGTCCATAGACTGTGACTGTTTGTTCACGCTCAACGACCAATCTTACTTTACTTTCACTACTATACATCAATCTGATCCCCTTAGTTGTAAAAGTGTACTGTTGAACAGTTGCATACTACGACAGAACTATCCAGCATGCTTTTTTTTAAAAAAATGATTCATTTCTCAATAGCTTCTGTCAATAATTCACAGGTTGGTGTGAGGAGTTATCAAACAACAGTAAAGTATTCTATCAATCGACATTGACTATTCTTAATCAATTTTTAACAACTCTAAACGTGGCTGATCATTAAAATGAGAGAATCCGTTTTCTCTAAAAGCAGAAAAAAAACTCTTTACACTTAAAGAACACCATAATAGTCGTTTAACTTACCATAACGAATATATCTTGACATTGGTGATGGTTCCATCGATCCATTTGGATGTGGATAAGAATGATGACCAGGTGGCATGTTAGATTGACCATTCATCATTGGATCTGTATCGGAATACGGTCCAGGAGATAGAGTATGTTGTCGTTTCTGTACTACACCTATATCCTATACAGATAATGTAAAAAAAAGAGAGGAAGAAGGTTCGCAATTACATTTCCAATCGACATAATGTTGAAATTTTCATGTAGTGAGTGGACTGAAACACTAAACTAATATATGTCAAACAAGTATATTTAATTAATTAGAGAATATGATGGTAAAAACTATGAGAGATACATTCATTTGATGAGTTCAAAGTGAGAAGAACCAGTAATCCTTGATTCCAAAGCTAGCCACACACCAAATATATCGAAGTAATTAGTACAGGATTAATATAAATCGATAGAGACTGATCAACCTGGAAATCGAAAACAGGAAAAAGCAAACTTTTTTCTTTATACTCAGTGCACAAGCTGATTTGATTATCTGAACTCTGTAACTTAATAGATAACGCAGTGATATTTACAGTGAAAGGTGCCGGGTTCGAATGTCAATGATGTAAAGGTTTATATGCAGCTGATAAGTCTAGGACAATGACGAAACATACATCTAACCTTAATAAAAGCTTGTGACAAATCTTGCTCTCTCTTTTTGTCAAATGTTCGTAATCATCATAGTTTCGAAAGGCTGTATAATTATTATGTTCAATAGATCATTGTCGTTAACACCACCTGTCATACATATTTAACAGAAACTCTTCTTCACAAGTTTTAAACAAAAAAAGTAATCATCATGACGGAGAGAGATAGGAAAACAGTTTAATGACTTTTTCTTTACCATTTGTGAACCACGAACTGATTGTGCTTGGTTTTGTAAACGGTCCATCATCACCATCCCACCGCTGCCACCAGTAGCGGGATCATCGACACCAACATTTCTTGATGTATCCGACATATCTGCGGGTTGTTGTGACAATGACTGAGATTGTTGTTGTTGTGACTGTTTACGCCTCCTTCGACGATGATGGCGATGACTACCACCACCGGCGACTGGACTACCGCCGGTACCAGGATCTGTAGTTGTGCCTACTGCCGCCGTAGCTGTTGTGCCGTCACCCCCGTCATTCATATCAGCTGTTTGAATACTAGAGTCCACGTAACCGGGACCATTTTCACATTGATTTAGCTTATTTTTAGAAAAGGAAAAATAATTAGATTAGTTTAAATAAGACACAGAAGGAATGAGCAAATCAAGTTGTGTGGTTGATGGTGGGTGATCAGGAGGAAATTCTGATACACTAGGGATTTCGTGTTACGTGCCACCGTGTAGTAATAAGCTGTCACCTATCATCTTCGAGTAACAGGTGTTTCCTAGCTCTTACAGTGTTGTCCTTCCATGGAAACAGAAGAATATCTATAATACCGATTTATTTACAGTTATTGGCAGTCAGGTATACAATGCAGATTCATAATAAAGCATTATAATGTAGTGGAAATAACTAAAACACATATAAGCATAGACACATTAAAATCTACATGATTGAAATTCAGTGCAATTATACTGAACATCGTGAAGAAATGCTAATGAACAATAATCACTAAACAAACCCACTTGATTTTCTTCAGGCAATGGATTTAAATGTTGGTGTGGACCAGGTTGATTCATATCTTGTTGGCTAAAATATGAATAGACCGATTCGCCGTCAGTATGATTGAAATTATGATGCCTAAGTGAAAGTAAGAAAAACAGAGAAAAGTAATCATATTGACTGGATGATAAAGCACAGATAAAAATCGTATGATTTGTTTGTGAATCTCAGAGTAATATGGGTGGTAATAGTAGAAATTATTAGGTAAAAGAAAAAGAAGAAAGCGGATATAGGGAGATTTTTAAACACAGGAACACAAAGAGTGAACACAACTCAACCAGTACAAAACGATTCTCAGACATGTCACGCAAAATCTATAACCATTCATTCAGATTATCACAACGACCAATACCAACACATACAATCACATAGTCTACACCTACATCTACGACTACTCACATCCATCAGTTCGAGTCTCATCAACTTCAAACACTGACACGTCATGTATTCTTTTCACCCTACTCAACCTTGTTACGACCCACGCCCACACTAGACAACATCGTCCATCGAGACTGTCACTCGGTCGGCATACATAACCTAACACATGTTCCAGCAATCTCACTTGATCAACATTCAACACATCATCGGTCGATTCGTCACATTTGTCTACTACTCTGTGTCTAACCTCCTCATTACTCAATCCATCATAACAACGAACACACGCACATGTATATACATCAACGAGATTTCCAACACATCCATCATCGAATACTGGTATGGCTTAAAAATACCCTCTGTTTTGCATTGTAATCTTTCTCACTACTAGACGGATATATCGTCGTCTATGTCACAGATGACTCAACTAGACAAATGACAAATCAGTTTTCTCAATACATGGGTCAACATTTCGTCAGACACCGAATCATTAGAGCTGGTCAAACATTACAGATGAATGAAGTGGTCGATAGACTCGACTACTTCACTTCCTATCATTAACTCAGGTGCTGACACAGGCCGATTCTGAAGTGGTATTTTGTACTTCGAGGTAGAGAATTATATCACAAACATCCTTGAATTGTTGCTTAAAGCGGTCACAAGATTTTGTCGACATCTATCTACCCGAAGCACAGAACTATATCACCCTACATACTCAAAAGTCCAAGTGAATCGCCTGATAAGAGAAAATCATTTGTATTTATTTATTTACTCATCAATCCAAATTTGAATGATGAGATGAAATTGACGATAACGACAACGATAACAACGACAGTGGATACAACTTACATATGTCCCATAGAATCGAAATGTGACTGAGGCTGTGGACTAAAATAACCTGGATACATTTGAGCATGTTGCATTTGTTGTTGCATATAAAATGCCTGTTGTTGATTTGATTGATATACACCACCGCCACCTTGATGATGTTGTTGTTGAGATTGAGGAGTACTCATTCCATTAGGGTACATATGTAATGCCTGCTGACTGCCACGATAATAAACAGCATTCATTGGTACACCATTAATACCGCTACCAATTGATGGGTCAGTCATCATGGAAGCAGTTAATGGACCTCCACCACGTTGGACTAATGTCCCTATAATTTATTATAAATTGTAAAGGTGATTATTTACACAGAAAATAAACATATATGAATGGAAAAAAAACAAAGTGAATAGACTCTTATAAACAGAGATGGATAGTGGGATTCGGGATGCACAATTCTTCTTAATCGAAAATCGTCAGCTGGATGTACCTGCATCCCAAAGTTGATGTCCAATCCGGGACTCGAAACCAGGACCATTCGCTTCAAATGCCATTGGGTTAACCGGAGTGAATATAAAATCTTGGATGCAGACAAATACATCTGACAAGTCTCAAATAAGACGAAATGAGCGTCACGGATCCCACTACTAGCCATAATCCATCTCTGCTTATGTTTGTGACTTAATGACATTATCGAGGCAATCATTACAAGACGCACATATACCAAATAGACAGATCAATTTCAGACCAAAAAAACAATGGGAAGGTTTGGACAACCAATATAAGTGAACTGAACAGACAGTTATTTCTTCTAGAATGAGACTCCTAATCAACACAATGCCTACACTCACGTCACCTCGTAAATTTTTAAAGTAGGGTCTTCAGGTCTCGTGAAGAAACCTTAACCATTATAGAACCACTGAGTCAACAGATCCAATGGTAAAATTCATACTTTAGGTGGTGGTTGGACCCGGGTTTCGGGCTAATTGGCATTCGTCAGCAAGGTGTGCCTGTAATCTTGAGGGAATCGATGCTCCCTGACACATTCGATCCCGTGTCACCCAGCTTCACAGTCCGAGACGTTACCACTGGGGTGTCCGGGCTGCAACCGACCTCCTGTAGGACTGAGATGTGGTCACAATTGATTGATCACTGGATGGTGATTGATGTCATGTGTGTCAAATCCTTCTTAGTGAAGATCGAATGCTATTGACCATATTTTATTCAATGTGATGACAACTGTCTCAGTGCGAATACGTCTGAGCTCTAATACCCAAGACTACTACTACTTATTAAGATTTCAAGAACATCATAAAGGTGTTCACTAGTCTATTTAAAGGTTTCTTTTATTCAGATTTATTTTTATTTTTACGTTGTATTTGTCACATACAGATCATAGTTGGGGTATCATTAAAAACTAGAGAACAACTCAACTAAGATCAGTTTGTGAAAAATACACCCCAACCAGTTTCCCCGATCTCTATAAAACACCTATTTGAACAAATAAATCCAATACAAATAGTTGATAGAATAGAAAGATATAAATGAACACAAAGATTAAAATGACAAATTATGTAATAATACTTAGAAAACAGAAGAAAAATAATAATAAATCAACCAACCAATGAATCGATCATCAATCTTAGATGATCTAAATGATATTTTAAACTATCCTAAACAATAGCTCTACTGTTCATTGTGTATGATTACAATATCCGAACAGAAATATATACATTCATTCATAGATGATTTGAATCATTTCAGATAGATAGGTGTGTGTTTCCATTTTAAAAATGTTATGTGTGTTTATATAAATAGACAAGAAGAAAGTGAAGATGTTATCATGATGGATAGTAACAAAAAAAACGGAGTTTTTTTTTTTTAAAAATTTTTGTTAGACAAAGGAAAGTTAGATACCGTCTAAAAAGAGTGATATTTTCACAATTTACAAGTAATTATTATTATGATTATTATACAAATATATACTTAACTAGCTGATAATTAACAATAACATAAACACTTTAACTGAGTTTCGTATATTTCCCCTATTGAAAGATTCCAGTGGACTCATCAACAATTATGCTACATTTGATTACAGCCCCTAAATGCCCTGGTACGGCCAAGAGTGGGGAGAGTCCACTGTCCCTCTCGAAATATTCTCACATGGCCATGTGTATATAGCCTTTGTCAGGGAAGTCCTACTCACTGCCTTCTCACACCACGGGTGTTGTTTACGAAATTGAGAGGACGAAAAGCGAATGTCCGGCGCTTTAACCGGGATGGTGGACATGAAAAGTCCACTTAGGGGAGTTGGAAAACCCTGATTCCAAACCAATGGTACACATGGGCTTCGGTACCCTGAAGGAGCAAATGGCGTATGAACCCACTGTTGGTCACCAGCTACCATGGGACTACATCTCCTTACGATGCTCTACTGCGCTGTAGATCAGACCTTTAGGTCGAAGGCTCAGGGTGTGGCCCCCTAAGAAAACCACCTGCTTCGGTTTGGGAACCCAGTCAGTACCACAGTCCTCACACAAATCAAATGAGATTTGTGTGGCGCATATGTATCGGGTGCCCCCTTGTACCGGTATTTATCTGTTCAAATAAATAATAATAAATAGTTATTGCTAATTCATTATGTACTGTTTACTTCGCTCGCTTATGGCATGATTATGTCTAAAGTATGATTTCTTGTTTGATGTGCTGCGGGGTCAGGTATATAAAGTATGCCACTGTATGGGTTTCGGGTAATAACTGAGCTGATTATGATAGAAAACTGATCTGCTTCCTATCGGTGTCTGCTGATTGGCTATTACTGGGTTGGGAGGAGCTCGAGGATCAATAAGTGTTGAGGTCTTGAATGTTGTTCATTAATCGGTGTGTCGATACGTGAGTTTGAAGTTGACTGGCTCTGTTGGTCATATAGATGAACTAATTGACAATCGGAATTTTTATTGGGAAATAATATTTCATATGATGTCTATTAGCGATACTTAAGCCATGACATTAAGTACAAACATAAGAAGTCCCAGTAACGACACAATCACATCACCATCAAATATTGGCACGTATTCATTGGACGTGTTGCAAAAGTGAGATCAGCTGACAATACTGAACACCATCATATTGAATTAATAAAGAGCCTAAACACTCAAAAGTATTCATTTTTTCCAGGTTCTTCGTCATCAAATCTTCGATAATTATTATGACTGATGAAAGGAGAGTAAAGTAAGTAGAAAGACAAAACGAGCTTCACAAATAAAGCTAGGCGTAACAGTAAAAATATATCATATCTTTGTGGTATGTTGGATCAACACAGCCTTAAACATCGACTACGACTAACTGACGTGAAAGTGGTGCGCAAAACAAAGATATTTTTAAAAACCCTCTACAAAATTATTCATTAATTCACTGAAGAAGAAAACATACCATAACCCGATCCATCCTGTAGTGCACCAGCATTGACCCCACCACTGCCAGTTGGAGGTTCACGTTTTAACGAAGCCCCACCACTAGGTGTCATTGAAGAAGGATAAAAATTTTGTTGTTGATTTAACACCATTTGACGATTTATGGTCCCATTGTTACTCAATGGTGTTGGATACGGGGGTGGTAGACCTGATGATGATTGTGGATGCTACATATAAACAAAATAATCACAATAGGACATTAAATATGTATATATAATGATAGGCACAATATTTAGCGTACCAATCTCTCCAAAAAAACTGACTGAATTTTGACGCTAACACCGTCGGATGCTAGCTTAATAGACTAGGGAGTAAGCTTTCGAACGTGAAACCGAAGATTCAGGGTTCGACTCCCGTGCACATGGTTGTAGGTGTGTACTGACACTGAAGAGTCTCATACTAGGACGAAATGGTGATCTGGTACTTTCAAGTTTCGGATGGTGAGTCTAACTAAGAGGGGCTATGCAATTTCCTTATTCTCCAAATCTTGAGCTTTCATCTGGTCTACAAACTGTCACCATATCTTATTCTGTTCTCAAATTACTATAACTTAATCATGCTCTCGGTATCATAATTTAATACTCTAAATGGGCTATTTTGTTACATACTGCATTTTCTTAACTGGCGTACGTTGTGGTTCAATTTAGACAAAAGTATAGTACAGGGATGAGTATAAAACAATCACAACGCATTTCCAACCAGTCAGGGAACAGCTTTTATTTATGTGGATAGTTGATGAACAAGAAAACAATGGCATATACATTATGAACATCCACCGCTTAATTATTCCAACAAAATGTAAAAACCTTAATTTGAAATAAGTAATGACTGTGATGTATGGCAAAATTTGTATTTTTCTTCACATGTGTTCAAAATTATTATTATTTGATAACAAAAATGTCTCTGTCAGAAACAGTGGAACATGCATAATTACATTAGTCAGTTAGTTATTCGAAAAGTAGAGCCTGGTACATATGTACATATGTTCAAGTTGTCGTACTCCATTAACACAGCGTGATGAAATTGTTAGGCCGGATCTCACAGTAGAAGAGGTAATAGAAAATTAAATATCATTTAAATCATGAACTGATTGATGGTAGACCACCATTGAAAACCGGAAAGCATTGAACGGCAGTTTCGTTTTGGTATAAAACTCTTCAGCAGTGAATATCCACGTCACCGAAAGCGGGAAACCGTCAATAATGAAATCCAACCGTGTCGGGTCTGAAGCAGTTACTCACCGAAAACAATGGAACATGGTCGAGCAATATAGCGGATTGATTGAAGCTAGATATTAACACTGTTGGATGAGAACTCAGTAGTCTAGAGGTGAAGCGTTCGCGGGTTCGATTCCCGTGTGTGGGGTCGTAAATACGCACTGTTAAAATAGTCATATACCGGGACGAAACGGTAGTCCAATGGTTCCAGGTTCTCGACAGTGGTTTACCATTGGTCGGTTCATGTTTTCAATGCAATAAAAAAAAGATTAGGCATCCATGATACAATTCGAGAAAATATAAATTATTGAAATTTAGGAAAATACATACATACATTTATTTATTACAATTATCTAAATATTACAGATATTCGTTGTTTATATAGAAAGAAATGAGAGCGCAATGAAAAAAACAGTCCCATTGATATATGTTCATACAACGGTACGAGACATACAAAAAAAAACCAATAATAAGATATTCAATTCAGGACAGTAATTAGAAGAAACGGTAGTTTGTTATCAAATGCATTATTACATAAACAAACTCTATAGGTATTATAAAATAACGTAAAGATATACAGATTTGGCGTCAGTGTTTGTAGATATATACACTCTTTTGAATGAGAACATAAACTAACAAATACACATATAGATGCATAGATCCATATATACAGCCTCAGCGAAAAAAAAAACGATCAGTGAGTTGCATATAAACAATTTCTACGTAGAAATCATAGAATTCAATGTATCCCCTTCCTGTCACCTCACCCCTATTGATTTCATCATTTTCTACAGACAAACACATAAACATACACTTTCGACTCCATGTGCTTATTTAACAAAAAAACCGGCTTAAACGGGGGTGAGATCAGGCCCATAAACATTGTGTGGTGGTGTGTGGGGTTGAATAATAATTGACGGAATGATTATATAACTAAGAAAGTAGTTTATGTAAGTATAAATGGCTTTTTTTTAAAAAAGTAAACATTTCTTTTATATACATATAAATTGAATAACCGCAGTTGTAGATTCTATAGACAAATTTGTTGTTTCATCATGATCAATAATAGTTAAGGCTATTTAATTGCACATTTCTTAGACTGTAATCAAAAATATCCATCACGGTAAAGTATGCATACATGAACACATACATACAGTGTTTGGGATACATAACACATACATTGAATAAGAAGATGATTACAATTATAGTCAATAGTTTGATAGTATTAGGCTTTCTGTGAAATTTATAGATTTAGTTGTATATCCTATTTTGTGCTGCATGTGATGAAATGAACTTATTGAATTGTTTCAGAATAAAAATAAAATATTACAGTTTTACATTATAAGCTTATTTTAGTAGGTCAACTATTGGAAATCAGGAAACGTTGGACAAGTGTTCCGCGTTCTAGTGTAGCACTCCGCGATTCTATCAAGCATAAAACTAACAATCATTAGGACTTACAGCTAGTGCTAAACCTCAAGACTAATGAGACAATGTCCAACAATTGCCGTTTCTGTCTCCAGTCAACTCGCCGTATTGTACAATTATCTCCAATATGAATGATTGGTAAATGACTCCGACACGACATGGTTGAACTGCATTGTTTATGGCTTTCCATTTGGCCATGTTGAGTTTGAGGCAGTAATGCATCAATCGCGTTAAGAAAGGTTGCACAATACTGCGAGTTGAATGATGATAAAAATGTAAACAAATGGAAACCAGCCCAATGATCTAATGCTTAAGTGATCGCCGCAAGATCTCTCCCAGATTCGACACATCGTGGATGTGAAAGGCTGAGGAGTAACGTGTTAGAATGAAGCATCCGTCTGCTGGTTCTTAGTTTTCAATGGTTGTCAGTTTGTGATCTAAAAAAACTTTGAAAACTCGACAATCTCCATAGACACTTGGTCAGTCAGTCATATGCAACGTAGAATCTGACACACATATATATGCGCCAACTCAACTTGGCAAATCATATTAGCACTGTAAAGTAGAATAATTCCGATAAAATATTCAGAGCTGAAGGAGTGGTACCAGTGTTATTAGCACAATCAGAAGTAAAAGTATTGTAGTGGTAGCAGTAGCAGCCAAATTTTAGGTAAGGAAACAAGAAATAAGCCGATATAGGGAGATTTTCAAACACAGATTATAGAGGAACACAAAGACCAAATACAAATACACCAGTACTAAACGATTCTCAGATATGTCACGCAAAATCTATAATCATTCATTCCGATTATCACAACGACCAATACCAACACATACAATCACATAGTCTACATCTACAACTACTCACATCCATCAGTCCGAGTCTCATCAACTTCAAACATTGACACGTCATGTATTCTTTTCACCCTACTCAACCTTGTTACGACCCACGCCCACACTAGACAACATCGTCCATCAAGACTGTCACTTGGTCGGCATACATAACCTAACACATGTTCCAGCAATCTCACTTGATCAACATTCAACACATCATCGGTCGATTCGTCACATTTGTCTAATACTCTGTGTCTAACCTCCTCATTACTCACTCCATCATAACAACAAACACACACACATGTATATACATCAACGAGATTTCCAACACATCCATCATCGAATACTAGTATGGCTTAAAAGTACCCTCTGTTTTGCATTGTCATCTTTCACATGAACAGAGTAGAACGGGATGAACTGATGTCCAGTAAACTCGTCTTCTCACTACTAGACGGATATATCATCGTCTATGTCACAGATGACTCAACTAAACAAATGACAAATCAGTTTTCTCAATCCATGGGTCAACATCTCGTCAGACACCGAATCATTAGAGCTGGTCAAACATTACAGATGAATGAAGTGGTCGATAGACTCGACTACTTCACTTCCTATCATTAACTCAGGTGCTGACAGGCCAATTCTGAAGTGGTATTTTGTACTTCGAGGTAGAGAATTATATCACAAACATCCTTGAATTGTTACTCAAGGCGGTCATAAAACTCTGCTTTCTCGCACGAATGACATAATAATAAAAAACACTCACTGGAATCGGCGGTAATTGTGGCTGTTGATAAGCGTAACCATTCTGATATTGTTGATGATATAGTTCAGTCATTTCCATTGCATTTGGACTAACCATATTTCTATCTAATGGTTGTTGACTACCGAAATAATGTGAATTACATGATTGTTGTCGTAAATAACGTGGTCCACCACCTGGTAAAGTACCACTATGAAACATTGTTGGTGAAAGTACATTACTATTATTAGTATTATTATTTTGTCCAGAAAGTATATGATAATTCGAATTACCGGTACCACCACCAGCAGACGGAAGCAATAGAGAATGATGTGATTGATGATGCGATAACGATGGTTGATTTGTCATATATGATGATGGTTGTTGTTGTAATTGTAATTGTGATCCTAGTATAGCTTGACGTTGTTGATACGCTGCCTCTTTAGATATGCCCAAAGTGGAATTATATTGATCAGATTGGTGTTGTTGTTGTTGTTGTTGCTGTATGTACATTTGATGCTGTAATTCATTTTGTACAGGATTATTTGATGCTGAATGTTCCGATAGACCACTACATTGTAAATTACCCATCATCATCATCATTGTTCCTGATGGCATAATTTGATGATCATGTGTACTACTACTATGAGGAAGAGCAGTATTATTGTTAGTAGTATGAGTTATAGTGAGAGCACCGGAAGGATTATTATTTGTGTTCATATTATTATTATTATTACTTTGATTAGTCGATATCATATTACCATGCGATAATTGGGGATTATTTATTCCACTAGTTGTTCCATCAATAGTATGATGAAAATCCGGTGAATCTTTATACCCGTGTACATAACCATCTTTAAAGAATAAAGAATTGCAAGAATGATCTGATTTAGTTTTCTTGAGGAAACACAGATTTATAATAATAATAAATAATAATAATTGTTATTATTATTACTTAGTCATTGAGATTATTAGTCGGTCAATGTTAGACCATCATTGAAAATCTAAAAATCGGTGGACAGCCGTTTCGTTCTAGCATCAGATTCGTCAGTGAACAGTGCGCATTCATGTCTTCGCACATAAGAATTGAACTTTGGAACTTCAGTCCTTTGCGAGAACATTTAACTTCTAGACCACTGAGTTGGTATCCAAAAGTGTTCATATCTGATTGATTGTAGTTAGACACTAGCACCATTGAATGCCGGTTCAGTGGTCTAGAGGTGAAGCGTTCGTGCATGAGACCAAAGGTAATGGTTCGAGTCCCAGTTGCAGAGCCGTAGATAACATAGCTGCGAAAGAGTCACACATTAGGACAAAACGGGTGTTGGTCTAACATTGATTAGCTAATGATTTAAATGAAACTCAACAATCTCTACCACCCTATTATTTACAAACAAGTCACGTTGATGTATATGCAAAGCACTTTATTTGGAGAATAATCGTAATCAGTGATTGAAAAGATTGAGTAACAACACATGAAGCTGAAGTGATTGCAAGTGTTGCATTTACATTTTCCTGGAAATTTTAATTAAATTATCCTTCGAGAATTTCTTAATACTTCCATACTAAACTCTTTCTTTTGAAATGTATTGAAGATGTGAGAGTTTCGTCCTATTCGGACTGATCAAGTGAATGTACCTACTTTTCCTAGATTTCACTGTTAGACACAATTCAATTTTACCAAAGACTGAATATATTGTATATATATAGAACTGATTCAAATAAATGTGGGTCGTCACCTTGAGTTAGCGAATAATCAATTCTGCCTCAGTCGACACTTGTACTTCTCAATTACCATGGGTAATTGGAACAGCATGTGATCTGCTCTGCATTATCTGGTGCATACTATCGATTAGTTATGTTTGAGACAAGTTATGAACCATATATAATGGAGGATCAGTTTAGAAACGACGATGGCACATACTTCCCAATGAGAACATTCACATTGGAATCAAACCAGCTTTGAGCTCAGAAAACAAAACGGTCACGCAACTCACCGACTAACTTTGAGTTCAAGATGGAAAAAAAGTTTTACATAACATATATGACGTTGAACTGGGAGTCCCGGAAGTTATGATAAATAATGAAGGGTTTGCACAGATCAGCGCACAGTTAGGAATTTAGTGAATCTTACTAAAGCTTAAACCATTTGTAACCTGGTGGAGTTTAGTTAATCGTTTTTGATGAAGACATCAAAGTAAAATGCCATCAGAGATGACGGTAAATCAGTAAATCAACATAACTAATCAATTCAACATAATTTAACAAGATATTTATTTATGCGCTTACTTTGTTTTTTACGTTGACTATGTGTACGACGATCTTGATGTTGACGACATAAACACAACAGGATCAGTATGAACATGACTAGAAACATTACACCGGCTATACCACCCAAGATTATGTATAATAAACGATTATTATTTAAAGTATCCAGTAAACTGTAACGACCAGTGTAGTCAGTTGACTGTTTCCGAATGAAATATGGTTAAAAAAAACAATAAGAAATAGAACAATGGAAACAAAACTCATTACAAAAATAATCATTCCCAATAGTTTAGTACCATATGAAAAGGAATAGACAAACACGACATTAATGTTTAACATTGGTTGTATAACTGAGTAAAGACCACTGTCACATTTCTTTAGTCCTTCTTAGTGGTGTGTGAATTCTCTAGAATTAGTTGCAATGGGGCCACTAGTTTAAGTAACTCGATATCACGTGTACAATGTTGAGATTAAGGTGGTGGTTAGAGGTAGTCGACAAGCGACTCTAGACCTAGATTTCGTGTTATCCGGTACTCGTCAGCAGGGTGCACTTGTAAAGTTGTGGAAACTAATGCTCCCTGGCAGATTCGATTCCGTACCACCCAGCTTCATAGTAGGATATATTACCATTGAGCTATCCGGGCTGCGACTGACCTCCTGTCTGATCACTGGTCAGTGATCACTGTCATGTGTGTCAAGTCCTACTATAGTGCTGATCGAATTCAACAGTGATTAATTAATTGTGAATATTTCCGTACTACAGAAAGTCAGTTAAAGGTGGGACAATAGCTAACTATATATATATATATATATATATATATATATATATATATATATATATAAAGTATGTTGTTTTTTTTAAGTAAAAGATATTGATAATTGAACGCAATTGAGAGGATACCATAGTCAAACAAATTTTCACGTTAGTTGGTACTCTCTCAAAAGATCATTCTGGTAATTTATAAGAACCGATGTTCCTCTCTTTCTTCCCATCCTCATGGACATTTAAAATCTCGCATCAGCCAGTATTGAAAGTCAGAAATGTTATTCCAGAGGCGATAGAAGTTCATGTAGAATTGAAATATTCAGACTGAATAATAATACACTATTCAGGATTAAAAACCAATATTTTTGTCGATAACTAATAGTCTCCTAAGTGTTGTCAATCAAATTCCATCGGTTAAGTTACACAAAGTGATTATTAGTCTAAATATACAATCTATGAAAAGATTAATCTATTTAACGATATTCGTCAACTGCGATTCAGTCATATTTCTTGTTAGTATCATTTATAATAATAATAATAATAATAATAATAATAATAATAATAATAATAATAATAGGATCATTTACACACACACACACACACATGGATGGTGTTTGTACACTGGATAATAAAAAACTTACAGCCATATTTACATAGACTGCTTTAGAGAAACGTGTAATCTGTCGGTTGTCACCAGTTCCTTTAACTCCATAAACTATAATTTGATAATTTGCAGTATTATTCAAACCTGTCAATAAACCATCCTGTATAAGAAAAAAAAACAAATATAGAATTAATATCAGAAGGGGCTTTGTGGATATTATAATAATGTTTAATAGTTGAAATCATGAGTCAATTGAAGCTAGACCAAAATGCTAAAACCTGGAAGCACTAGACGGTCGTTTCATCCTGCACACTAATGAGGAGTCCTACAGTACATATGTGACACAATGATTCATATCGTAAGTGACAGAATTGCTTGAGTTTAAGCGCTCGGGCAGTATTCCAGTCTTCACACAAATTGAATGACAAAGTGTGGCACATATATATATTTGATGACTCCTTGTATCAATGTTTATGTGTTTAAATGAAAATATAAACAGTAAGAGAGGTATGAAGTGGTATACAATTATATAATCATGTGTATGGTATCAAGGATAGAATAAATGGAAGATTATCAGCATGCACTTGAGTAGCACTAACAAGTTATCAGTATTAGGATCTTTGAGGATAGAGGGTTGTAATTGTTTTCTAACTGGATGTTTTAATTGTGAATGGATTAAATCAAATCAAATCTAAAGTAACAATTCAGTTCATGTAGATATCACAAACCGACTGATTTAATTATAGATTTACGCGTTCAAACATAGGGACTACAAATAAAATATTTGAATGGACATTATAAAAGCAAGATAAGCTTAGCTGCTGTTAGAGGTATGTGTAGAAAGTTGTCACTTTACAGTTGTACACACTGTGGAAAGATATTTCTTCTTGAGGTACCCGAGAACAAAACTGTATTAGTATGAATTTTGAGATTTAGAAGCATGAATACAAACTTCAAAAGACAATAGTTTCAAAACCTAGTGTATATACGATCATTTCGTGAGCAGCTTTTGACGTACCCACACCTTGTACTATTCATGCGTTATTAACTACACTGTAAACATATGAAACAAAGTGAAGTGTGTTATTTTTTAGAATCAACCTTTCACAATTCTTCTTTGAGCTGTGAGAAAAAAAATACAGTTGAAAATGTTGACTATCCATAAAGAAATATCCTACGGCAATAAAATCCAAAAAACGACTAACAGTATAACTTCACCATTAGATCTTAGACTTGCAACGTTTGATTTTATGATATGTAACACAGTGATCATGTTAATTTAACAGCTACGGTCAGGAATCCACGATATTCTATGGACAGAATATTGAATCAAGAATTTTAAAAAAGGATAGAATTTGTAAAAACCATGACTTAGAATTGGATATTTGGACATAACATTCCATAAAGAAATAAGTAAATAAATATAAAACCATGAAAAATAGAGACTAGAAGTATTACATAATATGTAAAATTGATTTTTGCCCAAAAGAAAAATAAACTATTACACTTACTCTAGCATTAGAACCATTTACTTGTGTAGCCCAATAAGCACCATATTCAATAGTACCACCGGAACCACGTTTTGGTTTAATTACAGGTCGTGCAAGTATAAGAAAATGATCAGCGATAAATTGTTCATTATTTGAATCTTTAAGAAATAATGGCGTTGTATCACCGAAAGTAGTTAGTGAATTAGAAGTAATTTCTGATGATTTATCTTTTTGTGATAAACCATTATTATTATTATTATTTTGAGTTGAAGGGCTTGATGATTTGGATAGGATACCTAAATCATTAGGATTTGAAGGAACATCACCAACACCATTGAACATCCATACTACATGAACTCGACCTTCCGACTGAGATTCATGGAGTGTGTGTTTGTGGGGCAGCAAAGGAGGGAAACGAAAAAGAAAAATAACTCGTAAGGAAAGTTTTCTTTTTTTAAAAAAAAAGATATGAAATATTAATATTAATGATGCTGTTCTAGCGTTACGGTGTACTATATTAGTGGTCAGTGGTTAAACCAAAAATATTAACTATTTTTATGGGTAGTTGAGGTTTATTGTTAGGGTATTACTTAGAATCCATCTCAGTAACGATATGATTGAATTTATTCTTCATCGCTATCCTGTACTCTTTAATTAAGTATGTCCAACCACCGTATACGTCAACAATGTTGACTAGCGTAAGAGTACAGAACAACAGAATCAAACGAAAACATCCCAAAAACACATAAAATCATAGACTGTTGAATCAAGGTGTGAAGGTTGGTGCAGACTATGTGAATTCCGCGCAATTATCTTGATTAATAGTTCGAGATCTGGGATGACAAGGCTCAAAAATTGATCACAATGGAGTAGATGTATTCACTATTTATTCCACAAATTCTTCCCTTCTCGAATCATATTCTCTATCCCTCAATATTTCATATTCTGGGATTCGCCTTGACAATCTCATCTCTTTTTGCTTTTGTTGTCCGTAGCAACCAGAACTGATCCCCCGCCACTGCCTTCTCGTGGCTGGGGTGATTTTTTACAAAAATGAGAGAAAGAAAAGTGAATATCCGGCGCTTTAACCGGATTCCAAATCAATGGTGCACATGGGCTCTAGTATCCTGCGGGAACAAATGGCGTATGAACCAATTGTTGGCCACCAGCTTCCATAGGACCGCATCTCCTTACGATGCTCCACTGCCTTGTGGATCAGACCTTCAGGTCGAAGGCTCGGGGGGTGGCCCTCTAAGGAAACCACCTGCTTCGGTTTGGGCACCCAGTCAGTACTAGTCCTCATACAAATCGAATGAGATTTGTGTGGCGCATATGTATTTGGTGCCTCCTTGTACCAATAGCTATGTGTTAAAATAAATAAATAAATAAATACATAATGTGACAGGTCCTACATATCTTATGATTGGTTTGATTGAATATTTCATTGATGACGTTGAGTGCACTGACTAGTATGACTTAATTACAGAATGAATCTTTTAAAATGAACTACTTCAAATAGTTCAGAAGAACAATAATAATGTGAGCTTTGGTAATTATAATAACCAGTTCAAAGGATGATGAAAAATCACAACGAGTGTGTTCATTGCCATTTGAATTATAAATATATTGAACAAGAAAATGGATAATCATTCACCTAATATTTAGCACACTTCAATAACAAGCAATAATAATAGTAATTAATTGCGTGAGAACTATTTAACACTAACTATATTTACTAAAACGTCATTTGTAAACAATAGATAATGCAATTTGTTGGTATAGATTTTCTTGTTGAGTTTATTGGGGTCCGTGAGATTGAACTGTAAGACAGGAAAGAGCTGTTGTATTGATCTAGTCAGAGTATCGATCATGTCGTTTAAACTGTCTACCCAGCACCAATCAATTCCGGCTAATCAATGACACGATAAATATGAGATAGTAGTTGAGAGTAACATTAAGTGAACTATTGGTCCAAAATGCAGTTGAAAAATGTCACATGATTTATTTATGTTAAAGAAATTAGATGCCAGAGTTCGTATGAGTAGATTAAGGTCCTCGTTCGATTCCGGCCTGCTGGATTGTGAATGCGCACTGCTGAGGAGTCCCATATTAGGACGAAGTAGCCGTCCAGTGGTTTCAGGTTCCCAATGTTTATCTCAAAAACAATACATCTTTGTTTGAAAATAAATTTCAATGAAATACAACTCGTGATTATTTTCATCTGGAAGAGTTCTATTGAGAAACCACGAGCAGTGGAGTTCAACTAACGCATATACATGGCAAATATCACTAGTGGATAATAGTTAGAGAACTGACGTTATAATTGTCAATTATTTGTTATAATTTCAGTATTATAAAAGTAAGAAGCTCAATACGATGTGCTTAAATAAATTCAGATAAATCTGCAGGTATACACTCTCATGAAGTTCTACACTACTTTCTAATTTCACAAATCTCCAGACTAGCTCTCTAGCTAAAACCTATCCGTAATGTAACGTTGACTGGTACTACTTCAAACGGAACACTAACAACGAAATTGTCCATTCTAATAAGATAATTGATAACGGTTTTTCTTTCATGAATAAATTTAAACTAAAAACAAATTCATTATATTCTTGAAAAAAAAAATTAATTGTCCTTGTTCGGTTTCAATGAATACACCAAGTGACTAACGAGTGCATGAAGTAGCAGTTCAATAGTGTATTGCTTTTTAACAAAGGGTGGTGGAGATGATAATGAGGAGTAGGACAAAAAGAATTCAGTTCTGAACTGATTTCAGACAAGTTTATTATTATTTTTTATTCAAAGTGCTTACAACAACACAGCAACAAAAAAATAATTTAATCAGATAAGTAAAAAAAAGGACATAATAATAAGTGGTGAGGGTAAAGTAAGCAAACAACACATTTAATTTGGTTGTTGCTACCATAATCGGAGGTCACTATCTATTCTCTTTTAAAAGCCCCCCTAACCCACTTATTTTAAGAAAAAGTAGGTCAATACCAGCAGGACACAGCAATAATAAAGGAAACAACCATAAAACAGAACACACACATACACTAGACGAAGTACTTAATTACGTTTTCAAACAAATTTGTATATCAGAGTTATGAATTTAATAAAATTACCTAATGTGTACGTTCTTTGTGTTTGTGTAAAAAAAAATAGGGGTAGCGAAATTGTGCAGTTTTATCATTTCAAACTTTTAAGTAAACGCAAGTGCACTCAGTTTGGTATAAAAAGACAGTGATTAATTTATCAAAGATTCAGTATGGGGGAATAAATGGAGATTGTAGAATTTTCACAGTTTTTCTAATTAATGAAATGATTTCAGTTAGTACAGCAACGGAAAATTGAATGGTAGTTTTGTCCTATTATGAGATTCCTCAATGGTTATGTAGATTCACGACCCCATTACAGGAAATCGAATCCAAGAGTACCAATCTCGCGCGAGAACCCTTAACTTCTAGACCACTGCGATCATTTTTCACTGCCTGCGATGGATAAATGTTTCACACCTGAAATGGTTAAATCTCACTGTCTACGGTTTATCAAGATTTTTTAAAATTGAAAGTACTTCACAGGGAAAAGAAACAGTCATGAACTGATATTACAGCTGGAGAATTCTTCTTGAAAGCTAATGTGTTTGATAGCGACAAAAAGATTTCGTGTTCAAATTTAAAATATATTGCTAATGTGTATTTTAAGACTCTAAACGAAATAAAATATAGGAGATTCAGATTTTCACTATAGCGTGTGGGATATATCTAGGTCGTTGAGGGTTGTGTATTGCGTATTCATCTTCCAGTCTATTTAGTTCGTGTATATTCCATTTAAGTTAAAAACAAAACAATATCACAATTAATCACCATATGGAATTACCATAAAACATGTCGAAATACACCATAACTTTGGTAAGGTTGTGTTATTCGTTAAGCAAATAACTCTGTATCAACATTAACTACAAACCAAGTGAACATCAAAATGATCAAAATAGTTGATTAGTAGTAATATTCCTTATAATATGTTTATTTCGAAGTTTTGATCATAGATTGATTTAAGGTAAGCAACCATTCAAAAGTACTGATTAGCTGTTTCATCTTAGTATGGGATTTATAGTTTTCATTTATGATTCCATCAGTGGTCGAAATCAGCATCTGACAAGTTTCCAAGAGATTTTAACCACTGAAACTACTGAGTTTTAACTACAGTTCATTCGTAATACTAAGCAAACGTCATCCAATACCTTTAGTGAGTAATTGCCTCGCTCCCAACAGGGCGGAAATCCTCCACTGGTCACATAGTTTCTTACTAGAACTCCGTAAATTACCTCTTGAAATTAACCACAAAGTCAGCACACAATTGCTATGACCATTAAATTAATGTTGATGATCGAGATAAGAAAAGGAAGTGAAATAAAATAAAATCAATCACACTTACCATAGGTCGGACCACTTTGATTTGTGGTGGTTCCACTTGACTAATATGCTCCATACTAACTATATTTGACCAACCGGATGGTGGGACTAAATGTAGTCCAGTAGATGGATCCAAAGCGATGACACGAAAACGATAACGTCTGCCTGGTTGTAACGGATCACCAGTTGCATAAGCATATGCCGATGAAAACTATTTTTTGCAGGGGAAAGAGTTAAAAGAAGAGAAGAGAAATAGAAAAAAGGAAATATTTACTGAAATTATTTTTAAACGATTGCATGACTTTCTACCGAAACAGTTGACAATAGTCAACATAAGAATGAGTCATAAAATCAAGTCAATTGCATGCAACGTGGAATCTGACGCATAACATGCATCAGTTCAAGTTGTCATACGACATTGGCAGTGGTATAAAACAGATTGAAAATGAATCCCAGAGTAGTAGTAGAAAAAAAGGAAAATATGACGTAATAGGGAGATGTTGAGACTTAAGTTGTTAAGGAAGACAAATAGTTAATGGACCTACGCCATTGTGAATTAGTCTATGCTGTCACACAAAATCTCTAACCATCTGTTCCGATAATCACAAGAACCAAGCCCCCCTCACCATTAGGTGGCCTACACCTGCAACTACTCACATGCCCCAGTAAAATCCTCAATAAATTCATGAACTGATGTCACATTTTGGTTTGGTCGACGTTAGATTTCTTCCAACATACACCTACACCATACAACATTGCTCATCACGGTAAGCGGTGGCTGGGCATACGTACCAAATGGTCCTAGCCACCTTAATTGGTGGAAATTATTTTGGTAGAGTATTGAATAACCATTACTTGATCTCTTAAATCATGTTGCATGAGCCGGTGTATATGTGCGAAGCATTGAAATACTACAGCGTCTATCGATAACGCGTTGGGGATTGAAAGCAAAAAATAACGAATCCGAACGTGAACATCAATAATACTGGGGTGCAGTTTCATTCGGGTGACGAGTCCCATGTAAGACAAAACATGGATCCTAGATTCCACTGCTAATCACAATTAATCCATTCTATTCAACAAATGACTCCATAGTAATGTGTGCTTATTGTGTGAACGTTGCTTTGATATGTTTTGTCAATCAAACTTGGCTCAAAACACAAGTGTACACTATTTGCCAAAATTAAGCTCCATTTTTTCATGGGAGAAACACGATCAGCACGTATAAAGGCAGCTCGCACAACATAACATGCTTGTCTACATTTTACACACTGTTTCACGATTAATGCAAAGCATTCAATATTAAAACGAGGATACATGATCAATTCACCCCTAATATGACAAAGAAAAATAAATGTGTATATGGAAAACTTACTTGTTGATTAAGTGCAGTTGGATCACTCCACAGGATAGCCTCATGACCAATTAATCCGATTAAAGCAGGCAAATCAGATAATTCAGAAGATGGCTTATTATTATTATGTTCATTATTACTACTACCATTATTATTATTATTGGTATTATCAGCAACATTGTTATTTGGATTAGAATTGATATATTGTCTTTCAACAGGACTTATTTGCATGGAATATTCAACATGGTAAGCAATTTGTCCAGCGTTATTATCAGGATTATTATTATTATTGTTATTATTATCGCTACTGATAACACCATCATCACCATCATGATGAGTTTGTGTTTCCAATTTATTGGGAGTAGTGATAGTGTATGCTTTCCATGTGATATACACTGCTAAATTATCATAAACTGGTTCAGCAATCGGTGTTAAACTATCGGTGATTATTTCTAAATGATAAGAGGAAGAGAAAAATGACGACAAAATACAGAGGACTAGGTAAAATAAGATATAGATACTTCGGAAGAGAGAAATAAAATTACCAGTAAAGGGGTTGTGAAAATTATTAAGTTTTTGATTGAGATTATGAACCGATTGACGTTAGACCACCATTGGAAACCTGGAAGCCCTAGACGACCGTATCGTCCTGTTGTGGGACTCCTCAGCAGCGCGCACCCATGATCCCGCTTGCGGGATTTGAGCCCAGGGCCTTCAGTCTTGCGCTCGAACGCTTAACCTACTGGACCACTGAGCCAGCCGGTATCCAACAGTGATAATGTCTATCCTCAACCAATCCACGAAATTTCGCGACCATCATCCATTGTACTGAGGTAGATATTTGTCTCTATCCGACACGAATTATCTCCAATGGTGGTCTAACATCAATCGGTTTATGATCTTAATCAAAAAAAGAAATAAAATTATCTGATAAAAAAATGAATGAATTATCGGGAATTCGTTTATAATTTTTTAAACCTTATTTGCTATTTACTAGAATTTGTGTTTTATTGTTGTATCGGTATGGACAATCGATTGTTTCATCAAACTCATTTAGGATATGCGCTTTCTTTCTTCTTTTTTTGTTGTTGTTGTTGGAGAAGTGAATATCTTAATATCACAACCATAATACATAAATTTTTGAATAAAGGGTTATCAGTTTAGAATCCATAACAAGAGTATTGACACTTCAAATGTTAATGGATTTATTTGTAAGAGTTTATGTGTTCACTTGGTGATTAAGAATATAAATAATAAGTTGGTGAATATCGTCAATCAGTAGCTCAGGATGTAAATTGTTGAAATACAAACTAATTGGGACGTTTAACTCAAAAGTCGAAGAAGCGGATTTCACAAAGACCCGTGAACCAACATGTCGGATTCAGTGTGAAAATGAGGTCAACTGGAACCACATTAAGATATTTAAAACAACAAAATAACTATTCTACGTGACAGTTGAAATTGAGGAAAAAGAAAACAGCAAAGAATGAATAACAGAGATAAAGTCAACCATTTTTGATTGTCAATCAATCGGATTGTACAACTATTTGATAATTGAACAGTGACGAATTAAATATGTAGTCAGTCATAAGCAACGTAGATACTTGACATTATAAGTGCATTGGTTCAAATCGCCATACAATTACCAGTACATCAAGATCACTACTGAATTAAAAGTTATATTAGTGAGCGTAAGAAAATATTCAAGATAAAGAGTGTGATTTGAGAATAAAGGATTCAATTGCAGATGAAAGGTACATAATGATTTTGAAATTCAGGATAGAAAAGAAGACAATAAGTGAATACATCAGTATCCCACTTTTTTTTGGTAGACGGACATTTCGCCTATGCCATAAATACCGTAAGTTGACAAAATTAAACAAGTATTCTGAATCTATGTGCAAAGATTTCGTTAAACAGTAATTCCTCGGAGATGATGAAACTTCTAAGATAAAAAGAAAGTGCATCAGACATTTGACTAATTCATTCTCTAACAATAATTTAAGCGTTGAACCATCTTCATCAAATATGACTTCATCTATATCTCGTTTCCATGTTCTCTTACACAAGACGAAAATGAAATAGACATTCATACAGAAGGAAACACCTATCTCCATACTAGTTTCCCCTATTTATAATATACATAAGTATATCTACTGTTGTTTCTCCCAAGTTAATAAAATTAACAGTGGTATGAGTCACACACCAACACACATACATAAACACATCAACAACAAAGTTCCATAGTAAAAAGTGATGATAACAGTAATAATGATAGATAATAAATAAATAAATAATTGATTAGTCAGTTAGTAAAGTATAGGAGGTAAAAAAAGGAGTGTAAATAAAACAGAAATTAAAAATGTTTGAGAGAGAGAGAGAGAGGGAGGATGTAGGATATTGTGTATCCTTCTTATTCTTCTGCCAAAAAGCTTATATTTGGCTTCACTGACTCGATTTTATCGATACGCTAAAATAATATTTAATGCAAAAGGCATATGTACACGTTTCAATATACAAACAAGACAGAAATCGAAATTTCCTCCCAAATGGGAAATATATATTCACTCTAATAATATATAGGGTTTTAATACTAATATGGAAAAATAAATCAAAAAAAGGGGGAGGGGGAATACTATCAATGTATATTAGTCATATCTCTCTTTATATTCGACTGAAAAAGCACGCAAAAACTTGTGAAATTTACAAATAAACATGGAGATATGTAAGTAAAATGACTAACAGCCAAAAAAAACCTATTTTGTTGTAAGAATCATTCTATTTAGTGGGTGGGCGAATTATAAACAAGTTTTATTATGATCACGAACTGATCTAACCTAGACAACTATTGAAAACCTGGAAGCACTGGACAGCTGTTTCACCCTAGTATGGGACCCCACTACAAGTAATCAAACCTAGGATGTTCGGGTTCATGTGTAAATGCTCAACCTTCAGATAAGTGAACCAAGAATTTAATGATGTACATGTCTAACTTCAATCAATTACGCGAGCAACGAATTGACAAAGTTGGTTGGAATCATGGTAAGCCAGATGATGGTGTAGACACATATACAACATTGCGTGCAAGTTCACTATATCTAGAGTTGATGTATTATGGTTAAAACAAATGACCTAAAGTTGTGACATCCATTTCTTTTCTCCCCATTTAAGCTTTAAACTTTGTGTTATGAACTAGTAATACATCACCCATTTATTGACCTCATAGCAATCGATTTATGCTTGTACTTTACCCAGTTGTTGTTCATACTGATAAGTTAATGCGGACCGACATAATAATTGTAATCTATGACTAATTGACTAGTTACTGATTAACGATGAAGAGTAGAATGAGATGTGACAACTAACAACTTCAATACTAATTCGTCAAAGATCACAATGTGATGTATACAGTTAATATAAGAGGATTAGTTGAGACAAATCATGTAATAGTGAGACAGAGAATCATAATAATAATGATAAGCTGTTGAGTAATGATGAAGATGTACATTGTAGATCTTTGACATTGAAAGACACTTGATGATAACATGTTATACTTAATCCCATGAGAAGTTTTATGTTTAGAAATGAGAAATGTTACTGCACAGTTATTCAGTCAGTCCAGATATGAAATCCTTTCTTAATATTCATTGTAATTTGATTAATACTATGTGGTGTATGCTACTTATGCCGACAGATATAAGTAGTATGTAACATCAATCAGAAGTGGAAGGTTTGGCAACAGAAGGTTGAGTTGAAAAAAAACAGGAAGGGAAATAGAAAAAAAAGTGAATTGAAAGAATCAAACAGAATGTAAAGGACAATTGATGGAAGATTTGTAAATTAAGCATTTAATGTATAGAGTTCTCATAATTTACGATGATATTCTGTAATTTCGTATGAAATAACAAACTGGTTGTCCCCATCTGAGTTCTTAGTTTTATTTATTATTTATTTGAACACATAGATATTGATACAAAGAGGTACCAAATACATATGCGCCACACAAATCTCATTTGATATGTGTGAGGGCTGTGATACTGCCCGGGTGCCCAACCGAAGCAGGTGGTTTTCTTAGGGGGCAACACTCGGAGCCTTTGACCTAAAGATCTGACCCACAAGGCAGTGGAGCATCGTGAGAAGATGCAGTCCCATGGTAGCCGATGACCGACGATTGGTTCATACACCATTTGTTCCTTCAGGATACTGGAGCCCATGTGGACCATTGGTTTGGGGTCCGACTAAAGCGTCGTCCTCTCATTTTCGTAAACAACGCCCCCGCCACGAGAAGGCAGTGAGTAGGACTTCCGAGGCAGAGGCTGTATACCCGTGGCCATGCGAGAGCACTTCGAGAGGGAGGGCGGGCCCACCCCACTCTCGGCCATACCAGGGCAGGGTATGTTCCGCCTGAGTTCTCGTTCACTACAACTAATTTAAATGATTAATATGAATGAACTGTTTAAGTATAACCACTCTTTCATCAATATTCAATAAAATTGTAAACAAAAAACTAGGAATCTCGAGAAATTTCCTGTTTATTGAATGTGTCAATATGGCATATAAAATTGTATTCTCCATTAATGATTTCATCTCGATAATCTTAAGATATCTTTATACATGTCTTCTGTGAATATATGTTATTGTAGTTTAACCACACCCCCCCCCAGGAAAAAACTTGCACAACATTTAGTTTGCTTACAAATAAAGAAAAATTTTTTTACACATTTTATGCCAAATCCAATTATACTATCCATATTAAACAGATGTATGAATATAATGGAACAAGAAATAATGAATATTCAATGGAATGTTTCATTGAAATACGCTATATATACATATATGTCTGTATCTACGTTCATAAAAAAAAAAGAAAAAACACCTGTTGCACAGAAACGTACTAGTGTGCATTATTATCTCGAATCCGAATTACATTACAACAGAAACAATGTAATAGAATATTAAGAAGAAATAGTAATCTAGACACAAAAAATAGATTTATGAAATTATATAATTGAGCTAACTGTAAATAACGTCAAATTTTAACATAGTAACAAACAATACAACATTTAGATAATTGGTCAGTATTAAACTATCCTAATCGGGAAGACAGTCTGGATATAGATTACTTGTTGGTGTTAAGATTCATCATTAAGGTTATAAACACCTGCAACCTTGAGAGGACTGGACTGATGCTTTCCACTATGGGATTAGAATTCGTGACAATTATAGCCTGAGTAGCTCACTAGTAATGTTTCATGATTGTTTAGGTAAGAATAAAACATAAAGCTTTATGTTTAAACTGGTTTCTATCTAAGAATTGAGAAATATTACTGCAGTTATTTACTCAACCCACAAGCAGTACAATCATACCACTTTTATCAATAACCGCTTCAAACAGGGGATATTGAGTTAAGAATTAATATCGTTGAATTCAAACTCAGTGGTCTAGAAGTTAACTGTCCATTTGCGTGACGGAATGTGCTGAGTTCGAATCCTGGATGTCAACTGACCACTGAAAATTTCCATACTACGACAAAATGGCTGTTTAGTGCTTCCAGGTGTTTAATAGTGATCTATATAAGATCAGTTCACGATTTAAACTGTAAAGATGACTTATCTGAATCCTATAGGAAGCATTAGTTCGCTTTCACAGTTACAGGTACACATTAGTGATGAGTACCACAGCTAGAACGAAACTAAGGTTCAGAGTCTACTGTTCACTTCATCCAACCACCTAATATATGTATATACAACTACAGATAATTCACGACAACGTATGATTAAACTTTAACAAATATGAATAATTTATTTCATTGAAAATATTACCTGGTGGTTTCACCTCCATGATTGCTTGTTTCGATGTTGGCAATAATAAGGCTAATTCTTGAGCTAATTAATAAAAATATATATTTAACATGAAACAAAATGAATAAGAAAATGTGTAAATATTTGTAAGAAAAACAAAAACGAAAATCAATTTACCAAACAAGTGGGTGTGGGAGAAAAACACAGAGAGAAATGACATTTTAATTTACGTTGTTATCACTAGCTATTAGTTAATCCAGGCTGAACACTAGTTATAATCAACAATTCATCTAGCGATAGATAGTCACGGAACAACGTAATTTGAATGTGGATATATATATATACTGTAGGCACAAAAAAGTATGTATCTGTATGTGATTACGAATTTTTTAGTATACGGTTAAGGGGATTGTTGAGCTTTTATCGAGATCACGAACCGATCAATGTTTGACCATCATTAAAAACCTGGAAACACTGGACAGCCATTTCGTCCTAGCAAGGAACTACTCAGCAGTGTGCATCCACGATACCTCACGCGGGACTCGAACCCAGGAGCTTCGGTCTCGTATACAAACCTCCTGCATCTAGACCATTTAGCCAGGATCCAATGGAGTTAATGTTTAACTTCAACCAAGATAGGAATGCAATATCGTAGATTGGTTGAAGTCAGAGATTAACATAGTGAGACCCCGGCTCATAGGTCTACCAGTTATGCGTTCTCTCGAGACCACGGGTCTTTTGTCCAAGTCCCACACGCGAGGTCGTGGATGAGCACTGCTGAAGAATTCCACGATAGAACAGAATGGCCGCCCTATGTTTCCAGGTTTTTGATGGTGATCCCAAATCGATTGGTTCATGATCTCAATAAATATTTTTCATTTGTAAGGATAAACATAATTTTGTGCAACTAAAGTTATCCTTGAAAAAGCTTGGACCAGATTGCCAGGCGAAATGTTGGATTTCAAATTCTTTCGCTGAGATTTTACAAATACATTCTTCCTCTTTAAAGTGATCTCAGTTGCACAATTTTTTCCCAATATTATTGAAGTTTTCTATCATATTCTCACAGTTCAAGTAATATTTTATATCTAGTCATTTCGGCTATTTTTCTACCTATTTAATGAACAATTACTGCCCCTTAAAGTGCAATTTTCAATAGAGATTTTATTTCAAGTTTAATCTTACAAAATATTTATGTTATGTATCCAACATATTGCTCTGTGCCACACTAACATCTTTACACTTTATAGTTGCGAATAGCAGTAGAAACTTGGAATGAAATGTCTAATGAGAACTACATATTAATAGGCAGCGATCACTCACTAAATGAACGGATAATCGGTTGAAAGCGCTGGATATAACATACTACTTAAACATTTACAACACGGTGGATAAACTGACTTATGGAGAAAACAATGTGTGTATGGGATAAATTGTTTACGTAAATAGAAATCATGTTCACTCATGTAAATGAATAACTGCACACACACACACACACTTGTGTACAATTATATATGTATGTATAACAAATAACCACTTTAGCCTAAAGTAAATGTCCGAAGCAGCAACAGAAAAGACATTTGTATTAATTGTTTGGATCTCCCCACTGATATTTAGAACTGAAATCGATCAGCCTTTTTTTAGACATATCTTGCGCGAATCGTCTCGATATTGGCATTAAGTCACAAACATTTTATAGGCAGAGATGAATGGTAGCTAGCAGTAAAGTCTAGGATGTGCGTTTCATCCTATTAAGGATTCGTCAGCTAAATGAACCTGGATACCAGAGTTCATGCCGGGTAACGCGATGGAGTTTGAAGCAAAAAATATATACTGAGCTGAAGTCTCAGAGTGAACATAAGCTCACTCTAGAATGCAGATAAGTCCAGCTGACGAGTCTCAAATAGAACGACATGCAGGTTCTGAATTTCACTGCTAACCACTATTTATCTCTGCTAATAACAAAAGCTAAATGATCTAACTTACGTGTACGAATAAGTTTATCAGAACTCATTGCTAGTACAGCTGATGCTGATACCCATTCTTCTAGATCTGGATCAGGATCCCATCGATGTGCAACACATTGATAAACTCCTATATCCTGTACAGTAACATTAGTTATCGTTAGTGTATTATCTAAATACAAAAAAAGATAGGAATGATGAAAAACAAAGATGAAACGAAGAGAAGAAAACAATTAATTTAGATAAACATGACTTGTCAGGATAATCCAATTATATATAAGTATATAGTATATCGTGAAATGAGTAGTCTTTATGCATACAGAACAAAAAAAGATGAAGTCAAGACGAAGCAAGCAAATACAATCATGTATATGTACATACACACACAAACAGTGGAAATCAGTTGCATACATTTGTTTTATACATTACATCTATTGACGGATAACTGCAAACACTAGTGTAGAAAGGCAATAACAAATTTTGAGTGTAGAGTTGGAAAATAGTTGTAGCCTATGTTACAAAATCACTGATCCATACATGTCAGAATCTCCTTATCATTTTCAAAATAAGAACTACTGAAGATGTTGCTAAAAAAGATGGTTATGGACTGAAAAATTTGATAATGTAGCGCCCAGTCCTAGATATTTCAATGTAACTGGCTTCCAAAAACAAACGTTACTAGTTACCCCGATAGTACACTTAAAGTACCCAATGAGATTACATCATTAATGTTAAACTTCAAATTTATGATAAGTTAATGATTCGTAACACATGACGATCCAAACATATCAAGAAGTAACGTTACAGACTACAAAACTGAGTGACGCGGGTTTAAATACAGCAATAACCATAAGTCCCCTCAAGATTGTACGTACGTCTTGTCGACCAGTTGTCAAGTTGAACAAAACCTAGGTCTGATAAGTCTTTTAACTGAACGTTAGAATCACTTTCCTAGCCGCTTCTAATAATCTCAGGTTAAATCTAAACTGAAACTTGAACACAAGAAAAATGGCGCGAAGTGAGGAAGGAACGTTTTACTTCCAGGTTAGTTTATGTACAGAAAAATGAGAGTATTTATGGTATAACAGACAACCTTAGGCTACTAGAATTTTCTGGCAGCGGTATGAATAACTATCCAGTCAGAAAAGTGACAAATAATTATCCGCTTTTTAGGTGTTTCTATTCACTGTTGACTTGATAAAATGTTTCCAGAGATTCTTTTGGGGTTCCTATGAAGTTTTCTAAGCAATAGTTTGCAACTATTTAACAGGTCAAGTACTGTTTCCTGTCGACTACTATCAACCAGCTAACATCACATTATAGTGGATTTAAAAAATGGAAAAAATACAAACATTCAAGACGTAATTCACTTGATATTGTTTTACTTGAATCTTCCCATTGATGTTTTAGGACTGAAATTGATCAGCCTCTTATTGGCATATGTGCATACTGTACATCCAGCTGACGAGTCCCAAACAGGACGAAACGCGCGTCCTGGATTCCACTGCTAGCCACTATCCATCTTTGCTTATTATTCAAGACATAGTTGAGGTTTTTTCCGTGATTGTAAAGCATTAGCTTCTACAGGCATATATGCACTCCATGAAAAGTGCTTAACATTAACGAAGTGAACATACACGTTCTTAACACATATAAAATTCATACCCGTTGTACAAATTAGTATGTACCTCGACTTGATAATAGCTTAGCATTGGGGTTTGGATCGAAAAGAGTCAGGTTTAGGTCTCAATATGAACGTTAACACTAGGCTGCGATAAAGTTGCATTTAGTTGATGAATAAGTTCAAAATAGGATGAAACCCGAGTCATGGATTCCATGTATTCACTATCGATTTCTATGTGTTAAAGACAACTTATAACAAGTTGGCACACGATGTTAATAAATCATGAAAAATCTAAAAGTGGAAAAAATTCAGTTACAATTTACTTAATCTTAATACAATGACTACCATTATCGACCATCATTTTCGTAATGACAGAATTATTAAAAGTTCCGCTGGAACATAGGCGAACAACCATTTATTTACTAATTATTTAAACACATAAACACTGGTACAAGGATGCACCAAATATATGTGCGCCACATAAATCATTTGATTTATGTGAGGGCTGGAATACTGTGCGGATGCCCAAACTGAAGCAGTTGGTTTTCTTAGAAGGCCACACACGGAGCCTTCGACCTAAATGTTTGATCCATAAGGCAGTAGAGCAAGATTACGGAGTTGCAGTCCCATGGTAGCCGGTGACCAACGATTGGTTTAAGCGCCATTTGTTCCTCCAAGATACTGGAGCTCATGTGAACCATCGGTTTGAAATCAGGGTTTTTCAACCTCCCCAAATGGGTCCTCCGTATCAACCAACTCGATTCGCATGCTGGACATTCGCTTTTCATCCTCTTAATTTCGTAAACTACACTCCTTTCACGAGAAGACAGTAAGTAAGACTTCCCTGTCAGTGACTGTATACTCGTGGCGATATGAGAGCGTTTCAAGAGGGAGAGCGTACTCTCTTCACCATCGGCCGTAACAGGGGGTGATCAACCATAGAGGTTAGCATAAATGTACCAAGTAAATGAATTGTGTCCCACTAAATATCAATCTAGCCACTGTATTATGTATTCATAAGTTCGCTAATGTAATATTATTTCTATGTTAAATATTGTCTATGTGAAAATCTTTGCTGTCCACCTACGTTTATTTAACAGAATCGCTTTGTTTATAAATACATACATTAAGCTATTAGGACATTATTCAGACAGCATAAATGATGTCCGATGAATAATAATAATAATAAACGTCAAATTATGCAATCTAATCATAAATATGCTAATCTAAAGTACAATATTAATAATCAATATTGTCAGATTACTGAACAGTAGTTACGAATTTATGATGTGCCAAGAAAAAACAAACAAAACAAACAGAATATTATGGAAAAAAGTTACAAAATAACCACAAGGTTTATTGAGTTAAAACGTACAATTGGAGGCAAATAGGATTATTTACGAGTGATTTACGAATGTTATTTAGTGTGTATTGAATGAGAAATATACAGTGATAAGACAATTAATTTAAGTGAAACATAAATATTAGTGAATTTGACTGGTATAGTATTGATGAATGATTGATCGGAGTTGAAGTCCATTAATACTTACAAGAACAAAAAACGGTTCATGTACTAACTAGACATTGGAAATCACATATCACATAAATTTGGATTAGAATTCTTATTACGGGAAGTAACATCAGCTAATTATAGAATAGATGGAATATAGCTAGTAGTGGAATTTAGGATGCGTCAGTTGGAAGTACCTGCAACTTGGAGTGAGCTGATGTCTACTCCGAGACTGGAACCCAGTACCGTTTTTTTCAAACAACATAATGTTGTCCACTTAGCTAATGAATCCAGATAGCCATTCACTTGTACAATGGATATAAGCAGTAATTTATTCTGAAAGGGTTTGAATAATCCTGTTGTTCATATTTTTCAACTGATCACATTTCAAATTGAATAAAGCAAGTAAGTTTTTTAAAAAATTAGTGATTAATCGAAATATACTACTTGGTAACTTCAGTACTGGAATACAATGCATGTCGGTTATTACAAAGAGCAGATAAGTAAAGAATGTTAGCCTAGTTTATGACTGTCATTAGTATTATAAATCTACACAAGTTCAACATTGACTAAAAACCAGAAAATACTGAACATGTTTTTTTCCAAGAGCTTCGACGACCATCACAACAAGAAGTCAGACTAAGGACCATCACTTACCCGAAGAACACCTAGTCCAGAATCGACGTTGTATATGTCTAACTTTAATCAGATCGCGACATCGCGTAACTAACTTTTACTGACTTAGATGGACAACTTGTAGTGTCAAACACACATGGGTTATTCTGGCTTTCGAATAGACCAATTAATTTAATTTTCTTCAGCGATATATTGACCTTGTCGATTGTTCGCTTATAACTTTGATTATTTGTTTATGCAAGCATGTGTGCGTATCGTTTACCTTATTTATCATATGTCTCCAGCTTATTTTTGTCTGGTTACAAATCTTAAGTCAAGCTTGCTTTCTCTGCTTTGTTTCGTTTCGTTTCCCGCTTCTTATTCTTAATATCTATCTGAATTAACGTGTGCCTGAAATGAATTCACTCAACTCAAACCGCATTAGGCTTCGTGTTACCGCTGTCGCACAAATAGAGTTAGCCTAGGTAAAATACGAAAAGAAAGATTTATATCCACGATATATTCACTTGTTCATCCGTATCGAAGTCAGATCAGTCGGTCACTAAAAACTATTGTTTTATCATGTATGAAATGGCACAAAGTATACTAATCATCTGAGTTTTCATCTACTCACATTCAAAAAAGGTTTAATTCAAGAAATTTTAGAAGTCCCTTTTCCGATAGAGAGACGATTTCAATTCATTGGCTTTATAGTAGGAAACATGCATATATTTCTTACTCTTCAAAGATTGGAATTAAAAAAGAAAAGAAGAATGATTCCAAAAAGACATGCATGAAACATAAAAACGATTAGTATTAGTAGTAATTCCATCTATAGACAATGCACAATACAATTACATTAGTATAATCAATGAATAAACATGACCTATTCATGAATCAAAAAAAGTTGTATGGAAAGAATTACACACACATATAGATGGCATTCATGAAGTGAAAATCTATAAAAAAGAAACTTGATTTCCTTTTTCAAAATTTATCAATAAAAGGCATTGAAAACAGAATTATATGTAGAAAAAAAGAGAGATCAAACAGAAGAGAGAAAAAAAATGAAATGTCTACATTGTATTCGAGACAAGACAATTCTTCTTTTACACTTAATCAATAATCATCCATGCAGATCAAACAAGAACTAATCAGAATGTTCTCTCTTTTTTTATGTAATTGAAATAAGTAATAAACTGAATGAAAATGGCATTGATCAATTTATTTATATGTATTTAGTGAACTTACGATTACCATGAATTTTAGTGTAGGCACCTTAGAAGATTGTATATATTTATATAAATACATATATATGTACGTAGATATAGGAAAAAAATTGAGTTGACAATAAAATGTTCTACAAGAGATAATACGTTCAATCAGTCACGATATAGAACCTGATATGTATGTACATCGGTTGAGGTTGCCTAATTAGACATGATACGTTAAATCAAGGTAATTTATTTTATGTAATGATAACAATTTATGAACAGTAGTTTAACCATAAATAATGTAGAACTCGGTAAAGATATGTGCGTGTCGACTAATGTTATCACGCTGTATGAGCACAGTAAAATGTCAGAGTTTTAGAAATAGTAATAGTATTCTGGTGTGGGTTACTTATACCCAACATAAGTAGTATATAACGGTGATCAGGCATAGAATGTATTTCAGTAGAAGATCGAAAAGGAAAGAACGGGAATGGAACGTAATTGGTATGAGAATGCATGAACGATCAAATCTGAGACAATGGACTGATATTTGCAAAGGAACAGTCAAATTTGAGACGATGGATTGATATTTTGCAAATAACCTATGTACAATATGGTTCTCAGGTTTTATCGAGATGCTCTGTAATTTCGTGTTAAATACATCCGATTGTCTCCATTCGTGTTCTTGTTCACTACAGTATCATTGTTAGTAGAAAACACTAAGCATTGACAATATAATTCGAGATGAAAGTATGAATTTGTGAAATTATAAAGTATAAGATATGTGCGAAACTAATAATCTAGGGGGAGACGAAAAGTGGATTCATTTTAGCTATTGAGTGAGATCCTGAATAAGGTCATGACAATCGTGTGAATCTCAAGCCGACAATCCGCACCTAGCAACACGAATCAGGTCAAATGTCAATGACTTCAGGGACAGCTCGGTCTCTTCCAACCTACAACAGCAAAAACTGTGACTCCAGGTTGAGGGGGGGAGTAGGGATATGATGCAATGTTACGATTTTAATTTATTCTGTGGTAATTTGCATTATCCTATTGTTGATATTTTCACCAAAATTTGATCAGTTTTGGCTGGAATGTGGATATCGCCGTGATATAGAGAATTATGAGACATATTAGTGTAGAATACATGAGATATGGCTGGCAGTGAAATTCAGGAAGTTAACAGTATATGACATGGTATGAAAGGAAGAGATATATGAGACTAGAATCTGTTGGTACTTCACAAACGTATCTAGTTGAAAGAATACTTTCTGGTTGTATTTATCTTAAGTGAACAGATCCGATCACATTTTTTACTTTCATACTAATTTCAACTCATTTTTCTTTTTCTTATTATATACTCACGTTCATTTCCCTATCTCTTTAAAATCTCATTTTCTAAATGTGTGGAACATAAACATTTTGGTGCCACGTACGTAGCAATATCTATGTGTTTAAATAAATAAATAAGTGTGCGAATGTGTAATTTTCAAATCACTGGGAATCAAACACGAATATTATTGATAGGGATATTGGGGTCCCTTTTATAGATTTCAGGTATCACATAAGTTGTCATAGATAAGTTCAGATTGTTTTAAACATCTGAAGTCTGTACAGTTGATTAGAGTCCTGTATGAATTGATGATCACGTCCTGGTATGCCAAACCATGGATGAATACATTTTGAGATTTTTTGATAGTAAAACTAGGTAAGTTAGTAGTATTTTTGTTATTATGAGATTGATTTAGGAAGGTCTTTTAATAAAACAAATTTACTTCAAAGAAGCAGTTCAGAATTCAACCATATATACTGAATGATAGCAGATTCAAGGCTTGACTTACTGACTTGGTGTTAATTAATTCAGCCAAGTATCATTCACTAGCAAGTGAGGAATTATGATAAAGCGTTGAAGAAGAAAAAAGATTAATCATTTAATACTAACATTTTCAGAGTTAATACTTTATTTTGCATTGTGCTTAAATGTCATTTACTCATTGAGAAGTCTTTACTTTTATAGATATTACCCTTTTGTTGGTGATGGAAACCAATTTCAAAAACGTTTATGAATAACATTCTACAGTCATTTTGGAAGGGCAAGAAAATTATCGAAGCAATCAAGATACTAAAAAAAGTGTGTGTAACTAAGTCAGTACAAACATGTGTCAATTATGAAACACAAATGTTATTCAATGTATTAAAGTATTATTATTATTATCATCATCATTATTAGTACTCTAGGCGTCCTAAGCTCTCAAATTGGATTACTTTGGATAGTAACGAGGGGCAAGGGAAAGGACATTCAAACAGTTGAATGCTTATACAAACATACATACACAACAAAACACGTATAAAACTCCATTCATTTCAACAAATAAATATTCTCATAGACAGCAAAAACCAATTCTGATAAGAATAACTTGTTGTATAGAAAAAGTGCACACAACGCTAAAAAAAAACTATACGCGCCATCTTAGCATTAATATACACACACATGTATAATACATACATTAATCATTATGAAACGGTAGACAAATGGATTAAGAAGAACATAACTGATTAAACAGTCGGTATAAAATACGAAAGGAATAATCAACCAAAAAAAAGAAAGACAAGCGGTATAACAAAAACAAGGAAGTGCCTAAATCGTAGACAGAATAGTTGTTTTGCTGATAAATCAAATAAACAGTCAGGGAAAAATCAAAAAAAGAAAAATAAAATTGATCCATCTGAACAAAATGTTAAGGAGGAAATTTTGCTGAAAAAATGAAGAGAAAAACAACATTTAGAGAGAAAAAAACATACAAGGTTAAGTATCCGCGCATGAGGCTGAGGGTCCCGAGTCCGAATCCCGTGTGCGGGATCGTTAATGTGCACTACTGACGAGTCCGTTAGTAGGACGAAACGACAGTCCAGTGCTCCTAGGTTTTTAATGGTGGTCTAACATCGGTCAATTCATGATCTCAATCAAAACTCAACAATCTCCATAACCCTAAACTGATACGTAAAATCTGTTAAGAAATTACAGAATCCAGTATAAACCCATGTATACAATAAAAATTGCATACATATTTAGATTTAAACAACCAAAAACAAACAATAACACTGATTTGGTTATATCATTAATATGATTAGATTAATTAAGGTCAGTCAGTCAATCAATCCGATAGTAAAAAATGTATGAGCCAATTATTCTGTAAACAATTTACAGGACACGTTACAACAGTTGGATACTGGATAGCAGTGAAATACAGAACATGTATTTTATCTAGTTTGCCCCTCCCCGCAATGTTGATCACTACATTTGGGACTATAAACCTAGTGTACCCTCTTTCAATTTGAACCTATAAAAAATTATCCACTCAGTTACTGAGTCCGAATAAGTCAACACAATTATACCACTTATTTTGTCCAGGAATTTTGTATATCCTTCATATAACTAAATTCAGTAGGCAATAGTTGGATGATCTGACGTTCTATTCTAATTTAGCTACCTGAAATTCATTTCTTACCTACTTTAAATATCAACCATAAATCTGTATTACTGTAGATGATGATGATTGAGTGTCTCCAGCAATTTAATTAATGTCGTTGACATTCATATTTTTGTCACAAATAATGCAAGTGTCGTCTAAGCATCAATTATTGGTCTAAGTATAATGATTTCGGGATTAGCAACAAAATAGTCAGCTAGCAAGTTAAATTGACTATAAAATACGATTGTACAGTTTAGGTAAATGAAACCATCGAAAAGAAAAATTTCATCGCTGAACTTCTATATTCTTTCGAAATATGCTCAGACTTGGACAGTGATATTTTATAACAAGAATCGTCGCTAAAAATTGAATACTTTAAATCAGTCGGACTAATAGCAACACACACTACTCCACCCCAAATGCCTTGGTACGACCAAGGGTAGAGACAGTCCGCTCTTTCTCTCCAAATGCTATCGCATCCCCACGCGTATACAGCCACTCACTGCCTTCCCTCTAAGAGAGTGTTGTTTACGAAATTGAGGGGAAGAAAAGAGAATGTCCTGTACGCAAACTGATTTGATGGAATAAAAAGGATTCATTTAGGGGAGTTGGAATACCCTGATTCCAAACCTAATGTGCACATGGACCAAAAGTGTATGAACCTATTGTTGACCACTGGCAACCATGGGACTGCAACTCCTAAAGCTGCTCTACTGTATTGTGGATTAGATCTTCAGGTCAAAGGCTTGTGGTTTTGCCCCTTAAGACCACCTGCTTAGGTTTGGGCACTCGGGTAGTATCACAGCCCTCACAAAAATCAATGATAACTGGTACTAGCCTCATTATCATTGTATGGTGCCCCCTTGTACCAATGTTTATGTGTTCAAATAAAAAAAATTACAAACAGTTCATGAATTGTTTTATAATCTATGATGAAACAAAGAGAGAGAAATCATGTGAGAAAAATAACAATAGAAAGAATTGGTCCGATTCATTTCAATACACTTTCTTCTTCTTCTTCTTCTTCTTCTCCTTATTATTATTATTATGACAGAGTACTGTTATTTAGATAAAGATTAGTTACTTTACAAATTTCTAACTATCAACCTGTTTATATAATGTCACTCTTTAAACTCCAAGTTCCTCTCTCTCTCTCTCTCTGACATATATATACATTGAACACTATTTTGTACTGTAAGGTTGATAAATTAATTCACCACTTACTTACCTGTCAATTATGATTGATTTCAATGTTAGATATTGAAGGGAGAAAAATGTTTATTTGAGAGAGAGATATATATAACAAAATAATTATTGAACACACTGTGAATATTTATTCTATGAAATAATATATACACATATAATCCACAATGAAATTTGTCTTGATACAAAATACTATTTTATAGAACAAATAGTTGTGATAAGAAAGGATAATAATGATAATAGTAGTAGTAGTAGGTAGAGAACTATATCAAACTGAAGCACAGGTTAGATGTAGTTAAAAGGAGATAAATCAATGAAAGTGGATTTTGGCAAAGAAAACAAAAAAGAAAATTTCATTGAAATTATGAATCGATTTAATTTAAACAATCATTGAAAACGTAGAAGCACTTTATGATCATTTCAGCATAGTATAAGATTCTTCAGTAGTGGGGATCTATGAGTTCACAATATTTTCGGACTGACTGAAGTTAGACTTGTACACTATTGAATATCGGGCTTATTGATCTAGAGGTTAAGCGTTCACCTGCGGGACTGATGGTTATTATGGGTTTGATTCCCAGTGGCGAATTTGCGGATGCTCACTAGTGAGCAGCCCAAAACTCGGACGGAAATGCCGTCAAGCGCTCCTATGTTTTCAACAATGGCCTAATTTAGATTGGTTCATCAGTTCAATGAAATTCAACAGTCTCTATAACACAATACCGAGAATTCTGTATTTCACCAACGCACTGAAAATTACTGAACAGAAGCATACACACAAACAAACAATAGATCAAAAGATTCACACAATTATAGATGAATGCATTGCGTTAGGATCCATATTAGAAAAAATACTTCAATAACGAGATTATGACAACTGGTAATTCTTCATAACATAAAACAGATAGATATACGAAGATCTCATGAATTTATCAGTAATACATTAGAAACTATTGCTATATCAAGAAAATGTTAGTACATGGTAATTACTGTGAAGTATATAGTGTAATAACCAACAATGACAATGTAAATTCATCGATTAAAGCCAGTGACTATAAGCAAGTTAGATGGTAAGTAAGTGGTTGGGAAAAGTGGGGAAGTTTATGTATTTATAACAATTAGTTGTTTTTATTATGATGAAAACGTAAAAATTCAACGTTCCACTAAGTTGCAAGTTTGAATCTTGCCCCACCTACAACAGTTTGAGTGGCTTTTATGAAAAACTACGCAATATTATAGTATAGGATCTCAAAAGATTTGTTTCATGACAAAGTTATCAAACAATTAGGTTGGTGATAATTATATTTCTACAAGAATGTTCATAAATGCTTCCGACTTTCATTAACATGTCGAGTGGGTACATAAGTTAGCTACAACGTAGAACCAGGCAGATTTATGCATCAGTCCAAGTTGTCACACCTTATTAGCACAACAAGATGAACACCGAATTAATTAAGCAATTTTAATCTCATGGTTTAAGGGGAGACAAAAAGTGTATACACCTACGCCATTGTGACCGATTCTGAGTCATTTCACCCAGAGTCTCCAACCATTGGTTACGATAGTCGCGCGAACCCCAATCAAGTAGTGTGCATCTACTAAAATAGTTCAGATCGAAAGTTGGTGACTTCAAGGACTGATGACACGTTTTAGTTTGGCCGCCCCTAACTTTCTTCCAACTGAGTAGATATACATATGAGTAATCAATTGATAAGGATATAAATCTTTATCAACCAAAAACCGTTGAAACATATATCATATCAGTACTGTCTAATTAGACGTATAATGCTAACTAGCATAGAGATAGGTTGGAATGAAGCTAGAGATCTAAATCAAGACAAAGCATCATCATTGATTGTTAATGTCAAATATATTAACGGATGCAGACTATTTGGATTCGCTTGTAAAAATAGATTTTACAAATATATAAAAAAGAAGAAACATACTTTTACCAATTCCTGTAATTTTTGGTTGTCCATTAAATAACCAATATGGTATAATTTGTTCATTTGAACTTGTACATTTGAATTGAACACTTTCACCGAAATGATTAATTAGTACATCTTGAGGTTTTGTTGTTAAACGTAAACGTTCTATATTGTTGATTGTATACAAAAATAAATTAGAGTAGATATGGTATGATAATGACTTAATGTTTTATTTGAAAACTTTATTGAAGAAGAAAATATTCAAAGACGAAAATTCTTATTGTATGTAAACATTATACACATTTAAAGAGTGTGAAAAACTTATGAGTGATTTAAACTATTGTCGTATAAATTAAATTCATAAGCGTTACAGAAGTTGATGACTATTTGAACTTAGTAGTTCAACGGATAATATAGATGTTTAAAGTGAAAAGTTACTCTCAGCTCTAGTCTAGGTATGGATATTAACAACACTGAGATGTAACAGATGCATTACAGCTGACATGTCCCACAAATAGGACGAAATATGCATTCTAGATTCTCTACTACTAGTTATAATTCATCTGTCCTATAAAACTATGTATCACAGGTTCAAGCATCCACTTCACATCTATTTAAACTTTGTCAACTGGATTATTAGCTCGTATATTAAAACAATATGGCTCAAACATGGGTAAATTAATATGTACTTGGAGCAAATGAGTAACAATGTTGATGATTCATTTATTATTCAAGCGTAAACATTTTCTCCACGGAATTTATAAGTCGGAAACTAGATGTAGCATGTATGTGTGTTTTAGCTCGTAGTTTTCTCATTTTTAATGTTTATTCTAGTGGTTTTTGATTGACCGAGCTCATTCGATTAGCGATATAAGCACATAATAATCTCTGTAATTGAACATTTGGACATCGACTTCCTAAATACCCAGAAATTTTCCACTCCTGAACACCAAACAGAAAACAAAAAGGTGTCACATATAACCTAGAGATTCTAGAAGTTTATGGAAAATGTGCTAAAATTAAAAATAGAAACGGAAAACGTCCCATCAGAAAACGACGATATAATCCCTTGTTCTCTAGAATTCGCTTAGAAGTTTCTAAGAAGCGCTGGTTAGCCAAAGTAGTTTCAGCATTTTCTTTAAGTTTCCAAGGGCTTTTCTGAAGAACTGTCGATATCGCCCCATAATCTCCACAAAAAATTAGACCACTACATAATAATCACATGTACTGAGATGGTATTCGCAAAAATTTTAGTAAGATCAGTAATCTATAGAGTTAACCATGTTGAAAATAGTACAGTGACTCACTGAATGCGCTATATTATGATTGAAATTAAACAAACGAGCTGAATGTATTGATAGTTTGGACGTAATTCTGATCGAGTGTTTTAAAAAGAATTACAAATGCAGCATGAAACCATATCAAGATTACTAGTGAATTAGGACGACATAGCTACTCAATGCGTTCTAATTGACAGACGATTGTGGTGGCTGGAGTTGCATACTGTGGTAACCCAATTAGAGTATACTGGCTGAAACACATGGTCCTTAATTCTAACAAGCCAGATTGATCAAGTGGGGAACAGTAAGACTTAAGGTCTGAAGTGGTTGTGCAGACTGTACTGAGGTGTGGTGATGGTAAAGTGTTCCCTAAGACAACCAGCATCTTCAGTGATGCTGCCTTCCAATAACAGGAATGACTCGTCCATCACACCTCATCTCCGCTTACAGACTGGTATCGCCAGAGGTAAAGCCTTGAAAGTACAAACTAACACAGTACAAATTTATCGTTAAAAAAATTATGTGATTAGCTTTAAACAGTTGTCCATTGGACACAGCGATCACGCTTACAGGTTGCCAAGATTACTACTAATCTAGTCACCTTTTTAGGTACTTCAAGAGAAAGTATCTTTTCACGACATGGGAAACTGAGAAGTGACGACCGCCACACACAGCTAACAGTATTGGAGAACGTCTTAACTGCTATTAATGTTAAGAATAGCTCTTTTTAAAAACAATGTCCGCTCATAACGAAAGGGATAAGAAATAATGAAATATAATATGAAAGGACATTAATGTTTTCATAAAAAGCTACACGCATGGAAAAAAAGCGAATGGGGGTTGAAGTCGATCATTAATCTAACGTGAATGTTAGTATCGTTTTTGGACTTTGCTTGAAAAAAAACATGGAATTTTCAACCAATACACAAAAGTATGACTAATTCTTCCAGGTCAATTCATGGACCACATATGCATATACGATCTAAATTCGGGGCGAGTCAGTTCAGAACCATAGATGTTAGCTTAAAAAGAGTGTACTAATCTCCTGATGTCTGCATCAATCGTGCTACAAAATTGATAATAATCATGAGCATTGCAACATACCTACGATTAATTTCGACTACGGTTAATTTTTGTCAGGATGTTTATTAACCTATTTAATAGACAATGTTATTCGTTTATATCTTTGTATTATTATTATCATCACTATCATATTTGTATAAACGTGTATGCTTGATCACATAGGACAACCTACGCACATATCTCTCGATAGCTTAAATATTAATATCTTAAATCTCTCTCTCGATCAACCATTCTCTTTACCATGTATGGAAATATATAAATATATGTACTCAATTCCTGTTAATAGTCTTTGCCGTGCATCGCTGCGCCTTGATTCCATTTAACCATAAATTCACCTCTGTATTTGCTCACATACATAGATTAGCCTCTTTGCTCCGATTCGCTCGATGTGCTTGTAACTTCATTATCTGTGCTATCCACTAATAAACTGTAGTCTCCGCTTCTTAATGCCTTCTGAATTCAAACACCGTTGGGATTTATATAACGACAGGAATCAATATGATTGGTTAACTAAACTAAGCCACTACAACATTTATACATATATTTGTGTTATCAAATTAAAAATTTACTAATCAACAGTTCAAATCAAATCAAAACGATACGACCATGAACAACTCACTTCGAACACGTAGTTGAGCAGTAGAACTTAATTGACGATTTGTACAAATATAGATACCAGCATCGCTAGGGTGTACATTTATTATCTCCAATAATCCTATTTGATATAAAATTACAATAAAATAAAGATGAATTTATTTTACTGATATTAAAACGATAACTATAATAAATTTCCAATAGTTTTCCATTGGTGATAAGCAGTGTAGAACACAGGATGCATATTTTGTTCCACATACGATTCGCCAGTTTAGATGTACCTTTAACCTGGTGTAGGGTAAATATACACACTAGGAGACAAACGAACTAAAAATCATTTCGAACGACAACAACATCAAAAAAGGAACGCAAACGTATATTACATCATACTCTCTTGAAAAGAATATTTATATATAATGATCGAACAAGTAGAATTTAAGAGGTAAGAGTTAGTACGTCACCGACTGAACTGTTATTATTAGTGGCTAAGTACAAATGTTCATGTAACTAAGTTTCATTGTAGACACTTTTGTGTTACGACAAATGATACTACCATAACGATTCAGCTGCAAAGATTAAGTATGATTGAGTAAACAGAAACGAACGCACAATTAGTCGACTTAAAAGTCAACAAATTTTAAACGATTACTTTTGAGTTGTCCACTAAATAAAAACCAAACATCTCTCTACAGAGAATAGACAGATTGAAGCTAGCAGTATAATTCAGTGCACAAATTTTTCTCACTATTTCAGTCTGGTCAACAGGTTAATGCTTTGAACATCATCTGGATATCAATAACCGGATCATTCACACTCTTATTCATGTATGTGAACATGAACTTAATTGATAAATTACTTCAAATTGTCCATCATTTATTACTACTATAACTATGAGTAGAGACCGGTGATGACTAGCAATGTAATCCGGAAAGCGAGCCACTTCGTCCTATTTTGGACTCACCAGATGGACGTGACTGCATTCTAGAGTTGATGTTCAATCCAGGACTCGAATATAGTACCTTTCGCCTCAAAAATCATCGCACTATCCATTTGGTCAATGTGTCCAGATAGCCACTAGCTTTTGCAATAAGGTGAAGATTAATTCATGTTTGTATTAGTTGTTTGAATTCTCCCGTTGGTGTTTAGGACTGCAATTGATCAGTCACTTATTGACATTTGTGAGCCTTGCGCGAATCGTCTCAATATCGCCTTAAGTCACAAGCATCATAAGCAAAAAGTCTCGGGGTGAACATCAATTGTGGGATGCAGGCACCTCCAGCTGACGAGTGGCGCGCATTCTGAATTGCACTGCTGACCCCCTATCCATCTCTGCTTATATGCTTGTGACTTAAGGCAATACGCACAAGATGCACATATGTCAATAGGAGACTGATCAATTGCAGTCCTACAAATCAATCGGAAGATTCAAACAAACAGTACAAAAATGAATTACTACAACTATAGTTCACACACATGGTTTAATGTATGTATTAAAACTGGACAGTGAAACGTTCTACATTAACACATTGTATGACAGTATATGTATATAAATAGAAAGAAATACATTATCAAATATTGTGAAGTATTTATGAAACGATAACAATGTTATTTCTCGTCTATTAACAGATTGATATCAATATTAATGATAAAAATAACGATAAATTATTTTGCTTGGATCAAATGAAAGAAGGCGAAATGAGATGACTGACTGTGATAATATGCTAGGGAGAGGGCAGGAGAAGGATTTGTGTAAGTTTATAGAAAAGGAAAATAAAATATAGAAGCTACGACAAGTGCCCTTCGTTTGCTTCTTTGTTTCCTAACAAACACATGGTCTATTTAGTCTCTTAGAAAATATTTATCAACCGAAAATAACGAGTGAATAAGAGAATATAAGATACGATAATGTACTTTTTTTATTGAAAGAGAATACTGAGACATGAAGATAATATTAGCTTGCGTGCACGTTATAAATAAAAGTAGATGTCTGGACAAATAATTTTGTAAAGAAACAAAATATGAAACCAATATATACCGTAGATTGGAAATGATCAATGATCAATTATTTTTATATATATCATATAGATTAAATGAAACTAATTTATGTCAGAGGGATTTTAAAGCCTTTCAGAAGTTTTATTTCAAAGTACCTCTTTGATACAACACAGGTTGATATACCGAAGTCTTCCAAGATTCTCAATCGACAACCAAACTCTATTCTTCTCACGTTTTCCGGAGCTATAGCCATCAAAAGTTTAAAGCCGAACTTATCCAAAAAGATGTAGGGTGGTGTTCAGAAGCAGTCAATAGGAAACCCTACCCAACCTAGATTTCGTGTTACTCGTATAACTCATCAGGAAGAAGTACCTGTAATCTAGAGGGAACTGATGCCTTCTGACGGATTCAATCTCAAGTTACGCAGCTTTGAGCCACATCCTGAATTGCTAAATGGTAATGTCTCTGACTATGAAGCTGGGTGACACAAGATCGAGTCAACCAGGGAGTATCAGTTCCCTTACGATCAAAGGTGGATCTTTCTGATGAGTGCCAAATAGCATGAAACCTAGGTTGAGGAGGGGGGATCCTGTCGACTACCTCCAAACATCTTAATATAGTGGATGTGATGTCAAGTCATTTGGGCTTGGACTGGTGACCCTACTATAACTTGATCGATAAAATTCAATCAGTGCTAAAAGGGCTTGACGTTTGTGAAATTGGTTACCTACTCAGTGAACAATCAACTGTAAATCCAAAAAGAAACAGTGACAAATCTCGCTTTACCATGGTGACTTCACTCTTAGTTTACTAATAACACTCTTGCAACTCTTCATATATCAATTGCATTATTTACATCTTTCAAATTCATAGTGTTATGTTTGAACTGACTGATCTCACCTCATCTTATTCTTAATTACTATCAAATTGTATCCACCTATTTCATTACATAATCAATTAATTGTTTCACCTATATGCAGAGATAAATGATGGCTAGTAGTGGGAAGCAAGATGCGCGTTCCACCCCATTTGGGTGTACCTGCATCCTAGATTGAGTTAGATTCACTACAAGATTCGAACCCAGTGCAGTTCATTTCAATCCCATTATATTAATTCGGATCTCTACTTCTTCACAATGATGATGCATAACCATACCTGATCTATTTTATGACCATAAGTATGGTATTTGTGTGATAATTTTAGTTTAAAAATATTAGATTGTTTGAACCAGCTGTAGCGAACGCAAAGAAAAAAATTCATGTCATTTCGTCAAAATTCTTTGTTCTTCCGACCTTTGAAATGAAATGGTAGCTAAAAGCAACCGAAAACATAATGAATTTTAAGTCAGTCATACATAATCCATGTACAGACTAGCAATAATGTGCGTTAACCCAATTTATTATACCACATTGGTGAGATATGATGAATTCACTAAAATGAATGGTAAAGTCATTGGGAATGTGGGATGAAAGGTTTACATATGCAGGAATACTAGGACTAAAGATCGAGGAGAGGTAGCTATCCAATGAATACATCTGGGCTACTGTGACTAAATTGTGTCAGTTTATTTCCGCAACCGCTGAGCGCTGTTATGCAGAGACCAGCCCCTTCAGTTAGTCTGAATCTGACAACATGGATACCTCAGGCCAAGTACAATACATAATCTAACTTTATAATCTAAGAATCAAGATGATGACGTTATCGACTAGATATGTTAAGCAATGTTTATTACAGAAGTTAGCATAAGTAAGCTGAATCAAATTTTAATTCTCTTTGTACACTATTATCATGTTCAGCTGTTACATAAAACACTTCTCCTAACCTAGCATCTCAACCGAACTATGTATATTGCACACAAACGAATGCTCACACTTTGAACAAAGTCATGTTTCCACTTCCTTAAGATTAGATAAATGACGATTCATCACATACTAGATATGATGTAACGCTTACGACATTCTCCATCATTCAATATCAAAAATTTAGATGCAAGGCGAACTTTATCTTATAAATGTCAAATCATCAAGGTACTAGGGTAATTTAATTTCTTATACTTACAATGTAAGCAACTTTGAGAATTAAGTCAAAAACGCAAAAAACCTAGGAATCGAGGATAAATGGGTGTTGACGACCCAAATTCACTTACCACTTCAGCACGGGCTGAAATCAACACAAGAAAAGTAGTGTGTATTATTGTGAAAGTTAGAGAATATGAAATACTAGAATATATTGAAACTCGTTGTTTAGAGGACAGTAAAAAGGAGCATATCTATCTACGATACTGAGGACTTATTTTGACCTACATCATTATTCATAATTATTGTATAGAACACAACCAGGTACCAAGTATTTTGCATCTACCAATATATCTCAGTCAATAACTTCATGAACTAATGATATAACTTGGTTTAGATCGAGTTAACCTACTTCCAAACCATTTTTCTATCCAAGCTAGAATATATAACAGAAAAATAACTACTTACCAAATAAATTATGTCGATGAAAACGGTTATGTGCAGTGGAATTTTGTTCAAATGGATAAGTAGTGACAATAGGAGGTGGAGCACTTTGAATAATACAAAACAATGTAACATTTTGACCTTCTCGAACGACTATTTCTTGGGATGCTGCTGAATTCCGAGGATCTATGGATTCCGATGCCATAGGAACACGAATTTTTCCGGCAACAGGAACATCTGGGACTAAAATATAAAAATAATGCAGAAAAACAAACTGTTTATCAAACAAATGCAAATACTCTGATATTGAAGCATAAATTTTCTGAAAGAACGTGATTTCTACGCTGCTCTACTTTAGAATGAATATATTTCAGAAAAGATTGATAAAAAATATGAAGAGTAGTAAAATTCATGCATGATGCATAAGTTTTAGTGAAATAATTTTACAGCAAAAGACTATACTAGTGAATGTATACACTGTAATAACGAAAAAATATACTCATCAATCAAAGAGTTGTTATTTATTGGTAGGACAAAAGCTTTGATTGATCCACATTCTAGACAACAGCATGTGTCGGAACATGTTGACGGACCAATTCATTTTGTAACTAGTTAGCACTATAAGTAATGTATAGATGATTTTGGAAAATTTAAGAATATTCCTATGTTTTTACTATTCCGGCTTTGACTGTTCACATTTTGGGATATATTTCTCTTTCTTATAAAAATAGTGTTTTGATATTAGGATTTAGTCGAATAAAGTAGTGTGTTCAAGGAATAGCCCCCAAACTCCCTGGTACGAATGAGGGTGGGGAGAGTCAACTATTCCTCTCTAAATGCTATCACATGGTCATGCGTATACAGCCATTGGAAGTCCTATTCACTGCCATACCGTGAATGGGGTGTTGTTTATGAAATGGAAAGGACGAAAAGAGCATGTCCGGCATGCAAATCGGGTTGGTGGATAACGTAGATCTACCTAGGGGAGTTAGTAAACCATGATGCTTATGGGCTCCAGGAACCTGAGGGAGTAAATAGCGTATGAATCGATTGCTAGTCACCGGCTACCATGGATCCCCATCAGACCATGTTGCCCCGCTGTTTTATGGGTTAGACCATTAGGTTAAAAGCTCGGGGAGTGATCCTATAAGAAAGCCACCTGCTTCGGTTTGGGCGCTCAGACAGCCGGCCGTCATACAAATCGAATGAAGTGTGGCGTATATGGCGAGACTATAATTTATGAACGAGCCAATCACGGGTAAGATGACAGGTCTTGGATTTTGGTGCGGAATTCACTCATTCATTCAAATAAATGGTTTTGGTATTATAGCTTATGTCAGTTCGTGATGAAAACACTAAATCTAATATCTAACCTCAATCATCAACCGTAAATCATAATTTTAATTCCTCACACAGGTTTATAACCCTCATTTGGTCCTGGTTATTAGGTGAACACTTTCAAGGTCATTCAGGTGTCGCCCAAAGGTCGTCCATAAATTATAGTCTCACCCATTAGTACACAAACTGAAACATTTAATAATTGGGGGATAGATGAAGTCTTAAATAAATTTTACGGTATAGAAAACATTACACATTTTCAAACAAGAAAGTAGATGAAATAATTAAAGCATTAAAAACACCTTCAATTTGTTTATTTGGATTATTTCATAAGGATCTATTGTTACCACTTAAAAATGAATTGGGAGATACAATAATGCACATAGTCTCTTGGACAGACACAAATGTAGTGAAGTAGTATAATTATCACCGATGATAGATAAAAATACAGGGAAAGAAAGGGATTTTGTATATATTGATTATTTAGATCTTTCTATTCGTGTGTAGGACTGTAATTGATCAATCTTTCATTGACATATGTGCATCCTGTACGAACTGCTTCGAATAAAACTATTTAATTTACAAATTGTCATTTATCATTGTTGGATGAAATGAGAGGAAAAAGTATGACTGTATCACTGTCTTATATACTAACGAAAATATAGGCTAACAATAGATTTTATTTAAGATAATATTCATACTGTTGTGAATGACAATACAAGTGGGGACAACAAAATGTATTTGAATAGAAAATTACAGAATCCCATAGTAAAATCTGAGAACCATACAGTAAATATTTCATTTGCAAAATATCAAACAATTGTCTCAGACTTAGTTATTCTTTCATTTCCATATTAATCACTGTCTGTTCTCGTTCTCTTCTCGTCGATCTTCCTAATCATCTCCAGCCAGACATTTCGCTTTTGATTGGTGATATGTACTACTTATATCTGTCGACATAAGTAGCACACACCACAATGTCATATTTAATTAGGCAGGAAAGTAAGGTGAGTAAGCTTACGCGTCTCTCTCTCTCTCTCTCTCTCTCTCTCTCTCTCTATATATATATATATATATATATATATATATATATATATATGAAAGTATATGTACATTTGTGTTGCTATGGATGCGGGTAAAAAATATTTTTGTTCGTTGCAAATTTATTATCGAGAAAAGTAATTCGAATAGGTAACGAACACTAACGTAACTTGGAAAGTTTATTTTTGAGTAATATTTGTAAACAAAAATTTTATTTACACCACAAAATGACCTTAGTTAGATGGTTATTGAAAACCAAAAAGCATTATGTAGTTTGGGACTTAACAATATTAGTAGGAATCCACCAAACTGTTAGGGAGAGGTGAAGTCAGAAACTTCAAGTTCCTCGTAGAGCATTTAAAACCTTTAAACTACTAAACTGACATCCAATGGTTAACATGTTTAATTTTATTGTGTTCATGATAACCCACAACCATCTATCAATATCATTGATGAGTAACTGCTTATTACACTTGGTGTAGTTAAACTGTAGTGGCCATAATAGTTCCACAAACCCCCTTACACTAACAATAATTGTGTCGTGATTTTGAATTATTCTTGCAACTTGAACTGGTATCAACTAAACAGTGCGTAATTGAATGATTCAGGAGTATCGCGCTAATTGTGAGACCTAGAAGTTCCCAGTTCGGTTTCTAACGGAGCGGCTGTATGTGTACAATAATGCAGGGTCTCAAACTAACATGCTAGGTTGGCTTATGATTTCGAAAAAATCAACATATCGTCAGAGGATGTGTTGTTTCAGCTTATGTGTCTTATTTATGATGGAGTAAAGGATATTTATGAATAGTAAGATTTTTTTAGATTACAAAAGAAAAATGTTAACAGACGTTAGAATTATGTAAATGTCTTCAATTGAGAATCGAAGATCCTTGAAATAATGCAAACAAACTGTGATTTAACATGACTGAAAAGTAATTAAAAGTGCACAAAATTAATATACATACTATACAGTTCAGTAAACTTGTTCAGAGAGATCAAAGATAAACAATTTAATGCTTTTCTACAATCAAAGATGGTATGTGATGATAACACTGTGGAGTGGGAAGGAATTTATTGACACGATTAAGGATAAGTGGTTAATTAAAGCTTATAATTCCCTCGCCGTTAATCAGTCATTCATGAACAGAGTAGAACATGGGGTATACAAGTGTATCAGTTTCAGTTCCCATACCATATCACTCTGCCAGTTAGTCTTAACGTAGAACCGGATACATATGTACATCGGTTCAAGTTTCCGAAACCCATTAGCACAGAGAGATGAAATTGTTACAACAAGTACCAGAGTGGTAGGAGCAGTAACAATGGGTAGTGATAAAGATACTGGGCATCGAAGATACGATTCAAGAAAATATAAATTAGTGAAATAAAAAATGTGGGGGATTCAGAAGCTTAGAATTCGGGGGAAGACAAAAGATGGATGCACCTGCTCAAATTGTAAACAATTTAGAACTATGTCATTTAAAGTCTCAAACCATTAGTCGCGATAATCACGCTGACCCCAACCAGGTAGTATGCACCTATTTTAGCGACTTTATTGACTGGTTCCATGTATGATTTGGCCACCTCTAGCTTTCTTACAACCGAATCCTACACCAGACATCACCCGTCGAGGTTGCCAGTGGATGAGCATATGCAACACATGTTAAAAATAACTCAGTCGACCAAGATTCGTTGACTGACTTGCCATATTCACCTAATAACCAGTGGGTAACCTCGTATTTGCTCTCTTGGTGGTCCCAAAATACACAAGCGGTGGTAGGTAGACACGTATGATCGAATACTACTATAGTCTATAGATATCTGCAATTATTAATGGTTATGTTTCATATACATAAAGAAAATCAAATCACTATAGTGAAATGAAGTGATTAAGGCGAATGCTAAGATAACAGTATCAGTGTGGGTAAATAAGATTAGGGATATAAGGTATGGTTTTAGAAGCAAGGACGCATTCGTGGAATAAAAAGTGAAATATGATTTTAAAATCCAAGACATAACGGAAGACAAAGAGTAAGGGGTTGCATAGGGGTAGTCAACAGAAAAACTTGCTTGACCTAGGTTTCATGTTATTTGTCATTCATCAGCAGTGTTCCTGTAATCCTGAAGAAACTGATGGTATCCGGTAGAATCGATCCCATGTCGTCTAACTTCGTATTCAGAGATGTTGAAACTCAGCTATCGGAGCCGCGACTGACCTCCTTTACGACGATTTAAAACTGTGGAAACAAAGAATGAATACATCTGCCTTGTTGCAACCGATTCTCAACCATGTCACACATTATGTCCATACATTGGTTACAGACTCCAACCAAGTAAAAGTCGATACCCATCTATATGACTTATTTCAGGAGTTAATAACTTCACAAGTCAATGCTATGTCTTGGGTTAGCCACTATCTCTTAGCTTTTTTCCCAATCTACCTCCATACTTACACATTCAGAAGAGATAGATATATATTGACTGCATTCAAACTGTCAAAGAAAAAGAAGTAACAAAGACCAACGACGCATATAGATAGGAAGATAAAAAAAAGAACACTTACTGATAATTTTTAAATTCACTGCATCCGGTGAATATTTCCTTTCTCTAGTTAATGGATTGATTGCCACGCAACGATAGATACCACAATCACGTGGTTGAAAATTTTGTATTAATAAACTAATTCTTTTCCCGTCTGGACGGGTAATTTGACGGTATTTTTCATTTTGTGAAGCTACAGTGTTGTTGTTATTGTATTAAACAAAAAAAATCGGAATAATAATTGATGAATGAAAATGCATTTCTTACAAAAACAAAGTGATCTTTTGTAATAGATGCGAACAAACTACAAAACCCATTGAAAACAATATTGAAAACAATGTTAACAGAAATAAATGTAAATTCCAGTTTTTATTTTTTTTTAAAAAATGAGCTACATGGTTCAAATACTTGATTTTCAACCACCAATTCATAAGTTCGAGCTCTATTCTGCCTATGAGGTCAACCGTTTCAAGCAGTTCGATAGCAAAACCATAGATACCACCAGTGAAGTTGTGTAAACAAACGATAGATATATGTAAGCCGAGGACGGTGTTAGAGATATGAGGCTGTCACTTCACGGTTGTCTACACTATAGAAGGTTAATTCTTAGTAAGGTAACCGAAAAGCAAACAGATTTAGAGATGATCTTAGTGAATTGGGAGTACTTAAGGGACAACAGCTTGAGGCTAGTCACACTCAATCCTTCTGTAAGTAGTTTAGGATGTGTTGGCTTCGTACTTTTAATGCCAGATTAACAACAACAGAAATTCATAGGGCAAGACGAGGAGATTTAGTTTTAGGGCCGACGTTTTCGGACACCTTTCTTTGGTTTTGAGAAGTCAGAACCACTGCAAACATTTTCTGTCTAATGGAAACACCTTACCGCTATCAAACTTGGTACAAGTTTAATAATGCTACTTAGTTATGAGGCAGTGAATTTTCTGTTCTCTAATCAACCTGCTTGGTATGATGGGATCTAGAATAACAAATGTTCCAACCAATATACTTTCACTGGGTTGTCACAACATGTGAACCCGACTACCAGGTCAATACAGCAGTTTATGGTCGGGATATGTGCATATATACTGTTCTATGTGGGGTTTTTTTATTATCCTATGTTCTTACAACACTAAATTGTGGTTTTATGTATGCACACATGAATAATGATGATAACTTTGACATAAATTTATTTTGAAAAATAAACTTAGCACATATACATACCCACTTCAATTTCAGTGTGAAGAGATACCTAAATAGGTGTGTACCTAATGAATAATCTGATCATTAAACTAGGTAGTAACCAAGTATTTTTAGCCGTTACAAACTAACTAATAAACCATATTAAGTGTTTATTACGCGATGTACATATTCATAGGCGTTCTATTTAAATTATCAATCACTATACATCAGTCAGTGTACATCTTATAAGACATGAAAAGCAATTACTTAATGACTCATTTAGCCAATATTAATTTTCCTGTTTTAGGCTTTTTATCAAGTAGAGTTATATGAAGTTTGAAGATATACCTATTATTCAGTAAGTTGCTGAAACAAACACTTCAGATAAGGTGTGGTTTGAAGTTTATGGTTAAAATTCAAGAGTATATACAACATTATACTGAGTCACAATGATGGAGATTTATCTAGTTTGTTAAATCTCTAAGGTCTGATTATGAATAAAACGATAATCCATCCAACTCATTTATCAAGTATCAGTTTCTATGACTTGTCTTTGGAGTATGTCTTTCATGTTTGACATTTAACAATACTGTCAGGTTGTATAAAAATCAAAATAGGTGTTACAGGGTTCGAAGACAGAATCGAATGACTAAAAACTAAGTTACCGCTCCACAAGAACAATCTACGGATGGTATGAGGTAAATTTACAAAAATACATAGACTATAGGGAGAAAACAATGTAGTATTTGTAGTAGTAACATTTAGCAGTTAGGTTAAAATAGGAAACAGTTACAAAGGATCACAGAAGGACTATTGAACATAGTTTAAATTTCACCATTTTAGTTAACATAATCAATGGCAGGTTATCTAAACAAATTTAAATCCCCTCCGAAAAGTTACCTATAATCATTTGATATCTACATAAAAACTAACAAAACCACATTCACGATCTGATCGAAAATCGACCTATGTTCCTGACAAGTTTTGCAATAATGTTTATAATATAGTGGAAGCCAATCGTATTGAGTCAGTCAGTTAGTAACAACGTAGAACTTCGTACGTACGTACGTGCGTACATCAGTTCGAGTTGCCATAACACATTAGCACACAGATACAATTATCGATTCAAATCTCATAGTGGTAGAGGTAGTAAAAGTATAAGCAATAATCGGAAACATTAGGGTTTGAAGATGTTATTCAAGGAGTATAACCCAGTGAAAAAAATTTGGGAAGAGAAAAAAAGAAAGGGACATAAAGAGTTCAAAAGATTAGAATTTGGGAGAACACAGAGTGGATGCAACTGCGCCGTTGCAAACGATTTTGAGCCATGTCATTCAAGGTCTCTAACCATCGGTTGCTATTGTCTCGCGATCCCAACCAGGTACTCTACACCTACCAACATGACTCGGTCCACTTGTCAGTGACTTCATGGACTTTTGTCATGTTTTGGTCTGGCCGCGACTGGAAAAATATATATATATATGTAAGTTACTACTTCATATTTTATATAGGCTCTTCTTAAAAAATGGAATCGAACGATGTTTTGTTTCATCCAGCATTATTGAACACAATCAGATTTCTAAATCTTTACAAATAGTCAACCTACTTTTTCTTCGATCAAAAGTTTCTCTCTATCATTAAATACAATCGTTGTTGTAGATAACATAAATAGTAGTAGTAGTAGTACACGAAAGATCGATAACTTTTATTTCGCTCTTCTTCATAATCAAATAAAAGCTTGTTCTAACAAACTTCATACCGTAAATACGCGTGAATATTAGGAACCAACATATTTTTGATCTTGTTAAATAATTGAATTTTCGGTATCAATGTATGTAAATATGTAAATATAAGACGGGGATTAAAAAAAAAAAATCAAACTTGACAGTATGTATTGACTTAAGTTGCCAAAATATAAGTAGTTCAGTAAATAATGATAATGATATGATATAACTTGTCAAGTTTCTGAGTATATATATGAATGTATGTATGTATGTGGGTATGTATGTACGTATAAGCATGTACATTATGTGATAGGAATAGTTAGTTATCAAGTATGAACAACTACATATTGTATTAAATACAAATATCAAATCAGTAAATATTGTTTTTATCAATATTTTACTTAGAAACTGATTTTAACAAAAATCATTGAATAGTATAAATCAGACATTAAAAGTTTTCCTAGTTTATTAAAGGAGATGATAAATACATATTTCACTATGATAGAGATTTTATAGAAACAAGTCATATTTTCGGTCTTACCATGTTAGATAGTTCGGTTGATGAATGTTAAGATTAAAAGCAAGTTTAAAAGTGAAAGTGACAGCAATGAGATATTTCATTTAGACAATAAGCATTGTCAGTGATGGTGATTTCTCATAACAGAATGGAACGGAGTCAGTATGTCATGGTATTTATAGTATACTACTATTCAGTCAGTCAATCAGTAACAACGTGGAACTTCGTACGTACGTACATACATCAGTTCGAGTTGCCATACCACATTAGCACAGAGATGCAGTGGTCGATTCAAATCCCGTAATCGTAGAGGTAATAAGAGTATAAGTAGTAATCAGAAACATTAGGGTTTGAAGATGTTATTCAAGGAGTATAACCCAGTGAAATAAATTTGGAAAGAGAAAAAAGAAAGGGACATGAAGAATTCAGAAGATTAAAATTTGGGAGAACACAAAGATTGGATGCACTTGAGCCATTGAAAACGATTTTGAGCCATGCCATCCAAGGTGTCTAACCATCGGTTGCTATTGTCTCGCGATCCCAACCAGGTAGTCTACACCTACCAACATAGCTCAGTCCACTTGCTAGTTCCTTCATGGATTTGTGCCATGTTTTGGTCTGGCCGCCCCTAAATTTCTTACAACCTACTATTCAATATATTTTCTGTCTGTTATTTTGTATGCTAAAGAATAACCACTCTTGCAAAGCTTCACAAAATGATGCGTAGAATAGGTGAATAAAAGATGGTAGATCTTTTGATTATGCGATTGAAACAGCGAGCATACAATAAGGTGTTCGGAAATCTCAATACTTCAACCATATACATTTTAATACGGTAATTAGCTAGGTTGATATCGCACAATTATGTTATTGAGGATCGTGAAAATTCATGAGTTGCTAGGTGGACTGTGTTCAGCTAGATTTCTTTGATACATAATAATAATTAAAGTGGTAATAACACGTTACTAATCAAAAACAACTTTGTTCTGAGTCATACATTTCCGTAATGTGAGCTAGTAATATTTTCAGGTTGTTAAAGCAAAGCTGTTTGTAAACTTGACCAGTCAGTCAGTCATTATTATTAACGTAGATATACGTTGCACCAAGTTACCATACCACTATAGCAACCCTCTTACAATTACTTTTTCTTACGGTTAACTTTGATCAAGTCCTTTTATTAACTTATTTAACAGACAATGTTATTCGGACAGTAACAATTCGATTATATCTTTGTATTATTATTATCATTACTATCATACTTGTATAAATGTGTATGCTTGATCACATAGGACAACCTACGTACATATCTCTCGATAACTTGAATATTAATATCTTGAATATCTCTCTCTTTCTCTCTCGATCAACCATTCTCTTTACCATGTATGGAAATATATAAATATATGTACTCAAATCCTATTAAAAGTCTTTGACATGGATCGCTGAGCCTTGGTTACATTTGACCATAAATTCACCTCTGTATTCGCTCACATACATATATTAGCCTCTCTACTCCGATTCGCTCGATATGCTTGTAACTTTGTTACATGTGCTATCCGTTAACAAACCGTAGTCTCCGCTTCTTAATGCCTTCCGAATTCAAACACTGTTGGGATTTATATAACAACGGTTATCATGGTGATTAATTAACGAAGATAGGCCGCCAAACCCCCTCCTAATGTGTCACAACGAGATGAATTTACCAAGATATATATAGTAAAAAAGGGCCGGGACAGTTTTAGTAGTAATGACAATGTAAAGGATAACGTGAAAAGTAAGATTAGACAAGACCAAGTTAACGTGAGAAAACATTAGAATTTAAGATGGAGAGAACGATAAAAAGTGAGTGCATCTTCCTACACTGTAAACTACTCTGAACCGTGTCATCGAAAGTCTACGGCGACTAGCCGCGGATATAAACCAGATAGTTTGTAACTACAACCATATTTTGGACGAATAGTTAATGACCTAGATTTTTTCGAACCTGTCTTTATTTCAATAAACCTAGAACTAGAAGTTGATTCGGAATACGCGTGATATACATAGAGAATTTTTACTTACCTGTAAGATCAATAACGGTGTTGTTTAATTCAAATTCAATTAATGGTTTAGGAAAACTATTAGTTGGCAAATAACAGTCAACAATAGCAATATTCCCTCGTAGAAATTCAACATTTTCAGTATGAGATGAAGATGGTCCACCACTTCTAGGAGTTGGGAATGAACCCAAACCTTTAAAGAAATCGAAAAAAGAACAAATATATTGACATCATCAGAAAAAAGGGATGGCAAAGATTTAGTGTATGAGAGCGATAAGGTGAAAAGAGAGATCAAGAAAATTGGAAACATTATGCATTAAATGAGGGGGAAATATGAGCGAGCAGTCTAGATTACATTACACTCCATAGACTCATTCACCTGGTACTTAGGTAAGAGGCACACTCTAAGTGTGAGAGAGGTAATGACGCTACCCGGTTGCCTAAATGGAAGTAGGCGGAGCCAGATTTGAATCTGAGACTAAGTGGCTGAAATTCAAACGCCCTAATCACCAAGTCACGACACTAATTAAAGTTTAATTAAAAAGTATTGGGTTAGAAAAGAACTGTTAAACATAGAATATAAAATTCAGCATATTTGATGTGTGACTAGTAATGTAATTTAGGATGAGCACTTCGTTAAATTTAGGACTCGTCGGATGGATGTGCCTGCATTCCAGGATTGATTTTCACATCAGGGCTCGGACCCAGTACCTTTCGCCTCGAACACTCAACGTGTTATCCATTAAGCTACTGAGTTTAGACAGTTAATAACAATTGTGATATAACGCTATTCCGATACAATCTGCTCAGGCTGTACAATATAGTAACAGAGACTGATCAATTACAGTTCACAATATCAACACCAGGGAATTACAAGTCATTATTCATAACAATAATAGAATTCTTAAACTATTTTGTAATAAAATAAAAATAATCAAAACTTACTAGCAGGAAGCACACGGAATGGTGCACTTAATTTACGACCAAACGAAGTAGTAGCTAAGCAGTGTAACCGTATTAATTCCATTTGACTTAATTCTGATTGACTAGAAACTATAAGACGAATAGCAACTTCGTCATGAGATCCAGCTGCAGGATTGTCACGAATTGCATCAGTTAAAGTTTCATGAATAATCAATGGATTAACTGACTGATAACCACCATTACCAGAAATAGTACCATCTAAATTTGGTTGATAAGAGTTAGTGATTTGTGTAGAGGATAAAATAGCATATCGTTGACTGCCAAGACCATAAGGTAATTGCATTAATCCATTATTATTATTGTTATTATTATTACTATGATGATTAGGATTGACAGCAATTAATGAAGTAGAAACAATAGGATTTGCACCAAATGTTGGATCAGTGAATCCTGGAGATGTCAATTGTTGGGCTAAAATATGCAGCTTAGAATTAGGTGGCCATGCTCGACATACAAGTTCAAGTGGTGGGAAACTGGTACCATCGGTTGATGGATATACAAATTGTGAGATAGATGGAGGTAGGCTGGTGAAATGCGGTATAACTATGTTTTAACAAAAGAAGTAAAAAAATAAAAGGATTTTTAAAACAATATACAAAATACATCGTGTTGGGAGTGAAAAACGTGTTACGCACCGAAGACAATAGAAAATGGACAAGAAATATCATGAACTGATTAAAGTTAAAATTGTATACCACTGAATCACGGGCTCAATGGTCTAGACGTTAGGTGTTTGCGCAAGAGATTGAAAATCCTGCCTTGAAGTCCTGGTGTCCAGGTCGTTGATGTACACTCCTGAGGAGTCCTACATTAGGACGAAACAGCCATTGTTTAACTTAGATCGGTTCGTGATTTCAATAGAAATCAATAAGTTTTACAATTTACAAAATTTTTCGTACATTTTTGTATAATATGATATTCATCAACAGAAAAAAACTGATAGGTTAACTTCATTACCGGAAAATTAAGTTGTGTGCATAGAGTTTTCCCATATATACACAACTACATATATTACTTTGTCCAGTCACTACGGGAACCGAACTGTTAAAATATTTGGTGAAACGTCAACTGTTGATGTGTCTTTATGTAGATAGCTTATTCAAGTGAATTAAGCCTAACAGTGCAAAACCAAAAAGGTTGCAAGCATAGTGCCAAACGTTGATGTAAACGTATACGGTTTGTCTATTTTGACAGTTAATTCATTGACTGGATGATTGGTGATGAATTGTAGTATACGGGCAATTTGTCTGTACGCACAATTCCAGTAAAATATTTGAAGTTGGAAAAAACGATGAGATAGATGAAGAGTATAAATTCTAAGGACTTTTGGTATGATATGAACAAAGGAAATGCAGACAGAACAGGTGCATTATCACAAGTGAGAAGTATTTTGAAGTAAAGAAAAGTGATGCACTGTATATTTTTACAACTTTAGTCGTATTTATTGGGTGGACTTCATAATAAGATAAGTCTAACCCAACAACTAATCTAAGGTTTTTGTATAGCATGCAATGAGCCACACTTGTGTTCGATGTTAAACTTACTAAATTTTGAACAAAGTGAAAACCAAAAACACGTTACCCTATGAATGAATACCTAAGACAATGAGTTAAACCTTCACTAATGTAATTCTTACTCATCTGCAAGGGATAACATATACGCATCTCTGTTAGGCAATTGAAAGCAGTCGACAGGAAACCTTGGTGATCATCTTCAACACCTACCCAACATAGTGCACGCAATGTCGATTCATTAAGAAACTCATGGGAACATTAGAAATTGATCGGTAGAATCTAATCCGCCCTACTACGATGGCTAAACAAGCCCGACGACGTTAGTCACTGCTCAGCGATTAATTACGTAAAGGTGGTGGTTGGAGGTAGTCAACATGAAACCCTACTCGATATAGGGATTTCGTGTTATTTGCTACAACTCATCAGGAAGGTGTCCTTGTAATCCTGAGGAGATTGATATTCCCTGGTGGAAATGATCTCCTATCACGCGAAATCACAGTCAGAGATGTTAGCATTAAGCTATCGGGGTTGTGGCCTGACCTCCTGTATAACTGAAGTGTATTAGATTACACCCATGTATATATGAAAATAATAACTATAATGTACAAGAGAAAGAGAACGTATTCAAAACTACTTACTCTGCAAACTGGCGCTAGTTGTATTGAATAACACTAAAGGAATAAGTAATAATACACTTGGATGGATAATTGAAAGACATCCAAATTTATTTGAAATAGTCATTTTGTAAAAAGAAGAATTAACAATGGTAATGATAACAACAGTAGTACTAATAATAATGTTAATGATAGAAATGATGTCGTTGGTAATTTTAACATTGAAAATAAGATTCTTTTCTTGTTTTTTTGCTATTCGACTACGTAAGAAAAATTAGATGAACATTTTCATTTGAAAATAAATACGTCAAACACAAAGAATATATATGTTTTTTCTCAGTTACTATGACGGTGAAATTGGGTCTCCTAAAAAAGAGAAAATTATAACAAATATATACAATGAAATATTCTAACGTACAAAAGAAAAAAAAACAACCAAATAATTGACATTTTAACTTCAAATAAATTCGGTTATCCTGTTGTTCATATTTTGATTGAATTTTTATTAATCTTGGTTGGTATATTTGTATCCTGTGAAAATTGCATCGATAAATGGCATATGAACCTATTGTTGGTGACTGGCTAACATGGGATTGCATCTAGCTAACGTTGCTCCATTGTATTGTAGACTAGACTTCTGTATCAAAGGCTCGTGGAGTGACCCCCTAAAAAAAGTACCTGCTTCAGTTTGGGCATCCGAGTGATATCACAGCCCTCACAGAAATCGGATGAGGAACTGTGGCGTATGTAGATTTGGTGTCTCCTTGTACCGATATTTATGGGTTTAAATGAAATTAATAAATCACTCAACGGTAATAGAAGATATAATAATATGATTCGAGAAGATAAAATGGATTTTCAGGGTAAAAAATCTAAGATAATTTCAAAACTCAAGATAGAGAGGAGGACGTAAGGTGATCGATTTTGAGCCATGTCTGGTGGTCAAGACGTTTGACGTTTAGCTACTAGATTCTGGGTTCGAATCCTTCTCCACCTACTTCAGTTTGTGCGACCGTGTAGTGTTATTAGCCCGCACACTTGGAGTGTGACTCTAAGTACCTGAGGAATGAGTTGACTTATTATTTGTGTCGATACCCGCCCTCCGATGTCACCAACCACTGAACTCGATTATCGCGCGGATCCTAATCAAGTAATCAGTACCCTATGAAGTGACCCAGATGAACAGTTAGTGCCTTCACGAGATAAGTGAAGAACAGAGTAAGGAATAAAGATGCCTTAATTTGTAAAGTTTAAATGTACTCTGAATTAAATGATATTTATACATGCATAAACTTTGTCCATGTCTAGACTTTGAGATTTTCAGATATCACTAATCGGTTGGTTCAATTGTAAAATGTGTAAATTAGTTTAAATTCATTACTTAATGATGAGTGAACGTGTTGTAGAGTTAGAATTTTATGAGCTGACTTTCGATCATAAAAATGTAAAAAAAAACGGTGATCGATAGATGATAGATTACTATACAATTTGACCGAGTGATAGCAGTTCTCACAAGACTGAATTATTGAAGAGAACACTCAAATAGACTGACATTAGAAAACAATACAGCTACTCAAGAGAATAAAATTTTATCGAATGAAGTAACGTGCTTATGTACAAAATATTAGCAGAAGAGTAGACTTAGGTAAATAGTATAGTCAGTTTTTTAAATCACTCGTACATAGAATGAATCAAGACCCTCATTATATCAGAAAGACTTATGTTTAAACGACTTATTCGGTACTTAGGATCAAAATGATAAAATTGTAACTATCCTGAAGATTTATTTTATGGCTTAAAAGACCTTACATTAAACAATAACAGGATAACAGGAATATAAATGCGGATTTAAACAAAGTTTACACATGAAACAAAACAGTAAAATGTGTTGCTTGGCAAAAAAAATAAACGATTTGCAAAGAGATACAAAAATTTTGATTAATCTCTCAGAATACTATGTGAAATGTAGGTCTACATCAAACCCTGCTATTTTGTATCATTCTTCTTGAAAATTCCGGTAGTCTTTACCAATAGAAAAGTCAATTTTTCGTTCGAGTTAAAAGTTTATTAGAACAGGGTTGTGGAGACTGTTGAATTTGACTGAGATTACGAACCCATCTTAGTTAGACAACCATTAAAGACCTGGAAGTACTGGATGATCATTTCGTCTTAGTGTCAAACCCCTCAGCAGTGCACGCATACAACCCCGACACCGGGAATCCAAGACAGCATTTTCCGTCTCGTGTGTGGACGCTTAACCATTGAGCTGATATCTGATTCCAATCAATTCATAACATTGGGTAAGCAACTTACGCTTATACGCCATTGTATTCCGGTTCACTGGCTTAGAGGTTAAGAGTTCACAAGTGAAAATGAACGTCCTGGTTTTGACTTCCAGTGCCGTGGTGTACTGATGAGTAGAGTCACATACTAAAATGAAACGATTCTCCATTGCTTCTAGGTTTTCAATTATTATCTAACTTCGGTTGATTCATGATTTGAGCACAAGTTTATGTTTGACAACTTTACAATTTCGCACATAAAACATTCAAATAAAACAAACAAGCAGTTCAGTGAAAAGGTCTTCTTTACAATGAAGTTATAATTAAGTTCGATATATACACAGTTCAACGGACTCACATGTAACTTTCTAATGAATATTTAGATATTTTAATACACAACGTGTGACGAAAGTGGTTTGTATCATGCATTAAAATAGACGAAATATATCCATATTTATTTTGTGGTAAATATTATTCACTTTGAAAATAAAAAGCCGAGAACGTGATAGACGACTAACATCTTTGCCTACTATACTATAACACACACACATTGGAAATCAATCTATTAGAAGTTATTCTATCAACACCATATATGTGTAACGATATATTTTGAGGATCTGAATCAATTAATCTAGACACTCGATACGTGATCCCTATTCCTACAAACTCCGCCTGGAGTCCCTCTGGGGGCTACTGCCGGTCCCAAGCCCGGATAAAGGAGGAGGGTTGGGCATGGGGTCAGCATCCCCATCCCGTGGAAAACTAACTCGCTAAAAAACGCTAACCAGAAAAATTATTCCTACAAACAAGGCATACTATATTTATCATTCTGCATCAGAAATTACAACAATCTTATTTAACAAATATTTTCATGATAATTTATTATTTCACTAGTTGAAACCATGAGCGCTTAACCATTAGACCACTGAGCTGGCATCCAACGGTGTTAAAACCTAACTTCAACCAATCCATGAAATTGCGCCATCGTAAACCATTGTCTTCAGTGAGTTCCTATCTCACAACAGACCTGGTTGAACTCCACTGGTAACGGCTTCTCACTAGACAATGGTGTACGGTGGCGCAACTTCGTGGATTAGTTGAAGTTAGACATTAACACCGTTGGATGCCGGCTCAGTGGTCTAATGGTTAAGCGCTCACGCACGAGACTGACAGGTCCTGGGTTCGAATCTCGCGGGGGCGGGATCGTGGATGCGCACTGCTGAGGAGTCCCACACTAGGACAAAACAGCCATCCAGTGCTTCCAGGTTTTCCATGGCGGTCTAGCTTCAATTGACTCATGATTTCAACCAGTGAATTTTCTAAAAAATCTCCACAAAACCCATTTTGATAATTTATTATTTGAAATAGAAAATAAAACGACTAATACAAAACAGCTAAATTTCTACTTAATTGAAATAAACCAAAAAAAGAAAGAAACTATTCTGTTTTTATTGTCGATTGTTGGAAAAAAAATAATAAATACAAGAAATTTGTTTCTTTAAAACCTTGGGATTTTATGTTCTTAGAATTTAAACGTTTCAAATTAATTGAATTCTTCTATTCATTTTATGAATCTAATAAACAAATAACCTCGAAGTAGGTGAAACGTATTTAGAAAAATGTAATGAGTAAATCAAATTTTAACACATTACTGTTAGGACAGCTTCCGAGAATTATGACAGAGCTTCCAGAGGATCAAAAAGAACCGAAGAGTTTCCATCCAATCAGAATATGATGAAGCTTTCTAGAATATCAACGTGGCATGCTATTATTGGTTAGTAGCATAACTTGCCTCTTTGCGGATTGGCTGAATTATAACGATATTATAACAAACGCTAATGTATATAAATACCCATGATTTTCTGTGCATTTTGATTCTTATCCAAAAAACACTTCTTCAGTTTTCTCCTGTCTTCTAATTTTGCGACAGTGGGGTTTTATACGTTCGAGTGCCGTGGTTATATACTATATTCTGCCTTAATCAAGTAGCGAACATAACATTTACATGGTAAATTTTTTAAAACTAATCGATTAGTGAATTCATGACAAGGTGGTCATAGGAGTTTTTGCATGAAACCTCATCTATAGAGGCGTTAAGAGTTATATACACGAATAATACTATGTTTCCTACTAACTTATTAGTTGAATTTTTCTTCGAAAGCATCACCCCACTCCAAAAAAAGTAGATCAGCAAAACAAGAATGGTCAAGCATTCGCTGTGGGACCTGGTAGTTCAAGATTTAATCCCTAGCGGGGTGGTCATGTGTCCATCCTACTGAGGAGGCTCATACTAGGATAAAATCTGTTCAATGCTTTCTGGTTTTTAACGAAACACCAAATCGGAAAACTCCGTGACGAATACAGACTATATAAATGAGGGATATTTCGCAAACATTTTTACATTGTGTGAAAAGAAACAATGTATTTCCTTGGGAAAATATTGATGGAATTCCAATCAATTCATTAAATTAAGTTCATTTTAGTATTACAACCATGATTCATGTCGGTAAAAAAACACTACATAGCTGCATCTGCATTATACTAATAAAACTTTTCTAGATAAACAGATAGAAATCAATGTATGTGTAAATAACTCAGTCCAACAGGAAGTCAGTCATTGGCAGCCTGAATAGCCCAGTAGTATCATCTCAGACCATGAAGGCGACGTAGGTTTGAGTCCCACGATGAGCATCAATTTTCACAAGCTTGTCGGTATACTTGGTTGAAAAGTACCAACTAGCACGAAACCTAAACCCAGGGATTTCCCAGTGACTACTTTTAATTACCTAAGAGTAAATTTAAATATGTATTTCACGACAGAGGTAAGTAAACTTCATAGAAAAAAGTTCGAAACTTATAGATGAAAATTCCTAACAACCTGTACACAGTACATAATTCTAATTACAGATGCTCACTACTACGGAGTCCCATACCAGGAAAAAAACGATCGTCCAGTGCTTCCAGGTTGTAAACGGTTGTCATACATCGGTCCAAGAATTCAAGAAAATTCTATAGTTGAAACTTGAATGCTTAAATTACTAATCCGTTTTCTTACTGAAGGAAAAAATTAAGTGGCTTCATTCT